TGCTATAAAAACTGGGCACAATGACTTTTATTGAACAGTTCGCACGCTGTACTGCACTCAGTCCACTCTCTTTCTAATGAACCACACAGCTGGTCTACGGTGTTTAAGTACAGACAGAATCCACAATGTACTCATATCGCTTATTTAATCCAGTTCAAGTAGGGTTTAATGCAGTGCTTCCCAAACCTAGAGGTGTCTCTGTCAATCCATCCATCCATTTAAACATCTGTCCATCTTTCTATCCAGGCATCTATCTGGATACGTTAAGCCCAAAGTTAAGCCTGTCTAACAGAAGGTGGAGTAAAGGACGTTTTAAGCTCTAAACAAAGCAGAAACGTCCCTAAAGCATCGGCCACCGTCAGACAGGCGCTCTGTGTTTGATCACCCCTTATATTTTTGTAGGAGTGAAGAACCTCTCTAAGGTTTAAAGAACCTCCATATAAAGTAAAGGTTCCATCCATCCATCCATCCAACTACCCATTCATCTCTCTATCCACCCATCCATCCATCCATCCATCCAAGTGTCCATTCATCTATCTTTCCACCCATCCATCCATCCGTTCATTCATCCAAATACCCATTCATCTCTATCCATTCATCCATCCAAGTATCTATTCATCTATCTATCCACCCTTCAATTCATCCATTCATCCTTTAATTCATCCATCCATCCAACTACCCGTTCATCTATCTATCCACCCTTCAATTCATCCATTCATCCTTCAATTCATTCATCCAAGCATTCATTCATCTATTTATCCACCCACCCATCCGTTCATCCATCCATCCACCCATTCATCTATCTATCCACCCATCAATTCATCCATCCATCCATCCATCCATCATCCAAGTATCCATTCATCTATCTATCCACCCATCCATTTGTCTATCTATTTATTCATCTGTTCACCTCACCATCCAGGTAACTTGACCCCAAAATCAAGAAATGAATAAATAAGAAATAAGGGATCCACCTTTCTATCCACTCATCTACTCAATCATCCATCCATTCAACTATCATTCATCTATCTATGCACCTATGTATTCATCTATCTACTCATCCACCCACCCATCCATCTCTTCATCTAGGTAATTTAAGTCCGAAGTCAAGCTTGTCCAACAAAAGAGGAAATAAGGGATATTCCAGCTAAACCATCCATCTATTCATCCATCCACCCATCCAACCATTATGTGCAAGTCATGTCCTGTTTACTGAGAAATCCTGCGTCATCAGGCCTCCTGGTCCTGGTTTTCTCCTGCCCTAAATATTTCACTGTGTCCAGTTAAAAGGTGTGAAAGAACGATTTAGGCAGCTTTATTTAAGCGTTTAGTTCAATCCTGCACTCGTTCAGTGAGGAGTTTCATAAATGGGTAACAATGTCACTCAAAACTAGACCGAATATGATGCTGCAGTGATGAGTCTGGATTTGAGTAATATCTAAACTCCCGCAGACAGACAGTCAGTGAGGCGTTTAAGGGGTTTTAAACGGGTTCATTTCTCTGATATCCTTCTTTCTTTTTGACCCTGCAGTGAAAAATCTGTATTATTAGTGCTCAAAACCACAAGTCCAACAGCCATTCAACCACTACACTGAGAGACTACATAAACAACAGCTGCACTCCTGAAAAAGATGGTTCTTCAAGGGTTCTTTAGTAAACCATGAACCATGAACAACCTTTGCATGCTTAAAAGATTCACTGCATCATGAAAGGGTTCTTCAGATTGATGGAGAATGTGTTGTATATGGTTCTATACAGCACCAAAAAGGGTGCTGCTATTGTTACTAGCTTGCCACTGCACCACTAACAGAATCTTTTTTGGTGATATATAGAACCCTTTTCAAAAAGGCTGTAACGATAAAAGAACCCTTTTTGGTGCTAAATAGAACCGTATACAAACCGGCCACTTGCTGAAATATGACTGTGACGCTCACAACGCTCGACTTTCCTATAAGGACTTTGTTTACATGCACAGTCGCACTGTCCTGCTGCGCATGAGCTCCACTGGCCTGAACCGCTGGAGTGAAACTGGAGGTGTAAATCAGCTCCATGTAGCCATGATGAGAGAAATAACAACATCAGGCATCCTAATAATAAATAATAACATGTTTTGTTGATTTTCTAAGAGAAAACATGTCCTACAGGAAACACAGTGCACATTTTAATATGTAATGAATTTAATGTTAACATAACAAAGCCTGTGTAAAAGTTATAGCTCCTTTTTTCCAATATGTCAGCAAGTTAACAGAATTTGTGCACTAAAATTTGCAGAAAAATCTCAGATTTGATCTGACCTGAGGTTTTCACACCTTTGGATACGACTGTGTGTCCTAGGTACACAGGTTGATCTGAGTGTGTAGTGACCATTTAAATGAGTGCACTCGTAAAAAAGATGGTTCTTCAAGGGTTCTTTAGTAAAGACAATGGTTCTATATAGAACCATGAACACTCACAGAACGATTTACATGCTTAAATTATTCTGCGCATGGTGAAACGGTTCTGTACGGCACCAAAAAGGGTTCTTCTGTCTCAATAGCAGAACCCTTTTCAAAAATAGAACCATATGAAACACATTCTCCATCAGTCTGAAGAACCATTTCACCATGCAAAGAACCATTTAAGCATGAAAACGGTTCTTTGAGTGTTCATGGTTCTATATAGAACCATTTTCTTTACTAAAGAACCATCGTTTTTCAGGAGTGATCAGACAGTCATTGACTTATTTAGTGGCAAATAGTTAAATATACTTCATTCTCCAAACATCTCAGCTTCTTTTTGATGTTTCAGTGTTGAATCTGAACTTGGGCAGTTGCTCATGAGCCCATATACAGACAAAAAGGGCCGAGAGGGAACAGCGACATCTATAAGGGGCTGTTTAAGAGGTAAATATCACCCAGAATCCTTCACTGAGGTGTACAGGAGGGATGTAAATGGTTTAAATGCTTTGTTTTGGTGCTGCAGTGGCCTGTTTGGTTAGTTATTGCTCAAAACTCCATACCAAACCAACAAGTGCTGAGAGTGAAAAACATCATCTAAACCAAAGCAAACAATCATTCCACACAAACTAAGACACTGACCATCAACTGAAGTCATTCAGTGAAGCGTATAAGGGGTCGTAAATGGATACAAATATAAAACTCATTCATTCTCCACATCTCGTCAGAGCTGTTCCGTCACAGCTGCTATGTTTATGAGTGCAAAACACTATAATGGAAAATTTTGGTAAACATTATTCAGCAGCCAAAACGCTTCTGCTTCTTTTCCATCACAGCGGTGACACATCTGAAGGCAGTAAGAGCCCAGAACAGAACAACAGCAGAAGCGGCATCTAAACTAAAGCGCACAGCCATTCAGTGAAGGGTAACTGTAAATGAGTTAAAGGGGAATGCCACTAACTTTTTAAAATTTCTGCATAATTAAGCGGTTAAGAGGTAAACAATCAATCAGAGACACAGTGAGTGTCGCCAGGGGCAACAGTGGCAAGAAAAACTCCCTCAGAGCAAGAGGCAGAAACACTGAGAGGAACCAAGACTCAGAAGGGGAACCCATCCTCCTCTGGTCGACACCGGATAGTAAACAATAACCCAACAAGAGCAATAAGATTTTACAATTAATATACAATACTGACCATAGAAAAAGAGAAAAGGACCAGACGGTCACAAGACAGAAGTATTTAGATTAACCAATGATAACCGATGACTGTTAGAGGCCGATCAGAGCAACATTACGTCAAAGAACATCAACAGGAACCAGACGTCCACCTCTAAAATCCCCCTTACAGAACTTTATTATATGAAATGGTTATGAATTCACTGCCTGATGTCTGAGACACTGTTTTAGGATAGTTTTGAGATTATTTTGGCCTCAAAATCCATTCATGGTGGAGGGATACATGCAGGGTGTTGTGAGGCAAAATAGTCCCCAAAGAAAACTTATTATTTCACATTTCCCACTATTTCACCGTCAACATTCCATATAAACTCAGAAGACTCGTGTAGGTTCACTGGTGGTTCTGGATAATAAATAAAACGTCTATATTTGTGTTGTAGTCATGGCGACCCCTGGTTCCTATCACCACCACTGTAAAGACATCTGAACCATTTCACACCAAACCACCCTGAATCACTCTGATTACAGCTCACACTGAGTTGGAGGAAATTCTGAGCAATTTGCTGTTTTTAAGATCTCGTCTTCAAACTTCTTCAAAGCTGCAATCGAAAATCTAAATTCTGAAAGGGAAATTCCATCAACTTTTCAAAATTGCTGCAGTGGCTGAGATGCAAACAGACGGAAATGATCCAAAACCACCAGAGAACCTACACGTCTTAGGAGTTTTTATATGGAATGCTGATGATAATTGATGAAAAAACAAGTGATAAATCTGAAAAAATACATACATTTGATGGTCTTTAAAGCTTTAATTCCATCAATTTTACAGATTTCAGTGGGTCGCCACGACTACAACACAAATATAGACATTTTATTTACTATCCAGAACCACCAGTGAACCTACACGAGTCTTCTGAGTTTATATGGAATGTTGATGATGGAAAATAGTGGATAATAAGTTTTCTTTGGGGGCTATTTTGCCTCACGACACCCTGCATGTATTCCTCCACCATGAATGCGTTTCAAAAATATGTCTTTGGCCAAAACTTTAACTCAAAACTATCATAAATCAGTGTCTCAGTCATCAGGCAGTGAATTCATAACCATTTCATGTAGGAACTTTCTGTGAGGGAGCTTTTAGAGGTGGACGTCTGGTTCCTATCACCACCACTGTGAACAGTTCTGACTCGGTAAGTTTCTCTATAGAGCAGAACCGCTCTGAATGACTCTGTTTACATCTGGACCCTTTAATTATGCTTTGAAAAAACGGGTGGAATTCCCCTCTGACACAAAGCCAACAAGTGCCAAGCGCCCAAATCAGCATCAGGGAGTTTGTAAATGAGCAGATTTCATCCAGAGTCTCTGTAAACGGACCACACATGATGACCCACCTTCTTTTTGACGCTGCAGTGGCAGCAGACGGTCCACAGGTACTTGAGGGTCCTCCACAGGAGGATGATGAAGAGCCCGCCGAAGAAAGTGACCATGGAGGAGGCCAGGAAAGCCCACCACATGCGCTGATCGTTGCTGTCACACGGCATGTCCGGGGAGTAAGGGATGACCACGCTCATCCTGGCTGGACCTCTGGACACCTCGCTGGACACCAGGTTGGTCATCACGGCTTGGTGGCCACAGGTTTACGCTCCATGGTCAGTTCAGCTGGCGCTTCGGGGTGTCCTGGTAGGTCCAACTGACCCGGGCTCGGCCATGTTTTTACCCAGCAGCCCTCCTGGACACTGACGGTGACGGTGTAGCGGGTGCACTGGGCAGCGGTGGGCAGTGCCAGCCTACAGGACCATGGTCATTTAGTCCAGCTTGTTCCAGCGAGGGAGGTGACGTTTGGGAGAAAAATGACCCAGCAGTGCTGTCTATACAGGTCTCTCTCTATCTCTCTCTCTCTCTCGTGCTTCGGTCAGCTGAGCGCCAGGATGGTCATTTTTCTGTCTCCTCTGAGAGTTTATGTGTGTGTCCAGGACGAACGACCCAGCGGTGATGTCTCTCTCTCTCTCTCTCTCTCTCTCTCTCTCTCTCTGCGCGCTCTCGCTCGTTGTGTCGGTGACGCGCCTTCAGCTTTCAGCGTTTGCGCACAGCGCTGTTTCCTTCGTTTTACCTCTTCTACCCCTTTTTTGTCTCTTCTATCCCCCTAATCGTGCCCCCTTGTACCCCTGTGACAACGCGAGGAACCTATTTCCGCCCCCAGCTGGGGTAGTTTACAGGTGGGAGGGCGGAGCCTCCAAGAATTACCCCCCAATAAAAACCCTAAAAACCGCTGAACCTCCTTTGGCACCGTTTTTACGCAGTCGATCCCGGCAGCTCTGTTGACGCGCAGTCGATGATTTTCCTTCGAAATGCGCCTTCAAACATTCCCAGAATGCCGTGTTCCCTCCATCGTCGTCCGTTCTGCAACAGGTTGACTGGATGAACGATACTCCTCCTCTCTCTCTCTCTCTCTCTCTCTCTCTCTCTCTCTCTCTCTCTCTCTCTCTCTCTCTCTCTCTCTCTTTAGGCGCAGTCGTGTCCAGAGCTCACCAGCAGGATGGCTAAAACCTCTCCCAGGGCAACCAAACAGACAGGGAGTCCCACCTCTCTCTCTCTCTCTCTCTCTCTCCTCCCCAGCTGTGGCTGCATCTGGCAACAAACCAGCCCTTTTACACAGCAACGCCACAACTGAGCTACAAGTGTATCTTCATAAATAAGCTCTCCGTTACTGTAAATAAGCTGTGAACTGTCTGTATTGAATATATATGCACACAGATATGAATCCCAGCGCCAGGTCTGATAGATAAACTAGCCGGGAACACATTAATGCTGCATTACTGCTGCTGATGGTGGATTAAAGTGGAGAATGTAGGTCTAACAGCGTTACGCGTTTGATCCGATAAACTGAGGCTGGGCTGCAGTGCCACCTGGTGGACGAGGACGTTACAGCAGGGCCTGCATGTCTAACCTCCCAAAATAGTTGGATTTCCACACTCGTAGCATATATATATATATATATATATATATATATATTATATAATATATATATATATATATGTATATGTATGTATATATGTATATTTAGTTTTTGAGATAATTTGAAAATGACCGTTGCTCTTTACATTGTGTGTAAATTTCATGATGAATGGACTAAAAGAAACGACTCAAAATTACTAGGAAAAAAATCTGGTTCCATTGACTTACACTGAAAGTAGAGTATATTTTTTCCTTCTCCTGTAAAGTTACCATTTTGGAGATTGTATATATATTCTATTAACTCTCTCTCTCTCTACATATATATATATGTGTGTGTGTGTGTGTGTGTGTGTGTGTATTCAGTGTTTATTTTGTCCATTCTTTATCTTTATTCCAGCTTCCATTCTTTTCAGGAGCCTCACTTCCAGCTCCTCAAAGAATCTGCAGACACACCTCCAAAGTTCAGTCTTAGAAGCTGGTTGATCATTTTCTGAAGTAATCAAACACATTCAGTGGTGTTGAGGTCTGGACTCTGGGGTGGTCAGGCCATCGTTCAGCTTCTTTGTTTGATGTGTCCGTCTCCTTTTCTCAGTGAGGTTCTTCTTGATCAGCTACACATCCTTTCAGACTTCCTTATGTGAGTCGATTATTATTATATCTAATCTACTCACAAAACCACAGACACACACACACATATATATATAGGTACAGTAAGTTAGTGAGGGAGAACTTTTCACTTTGATTTCTTTAAATGTTGAAGTTTTGTGTGTAAATTTGCAGACAGTCTTTTACAGAAAGAAGAGTCAGTATTGATCCACTCAGCACTGACGGCTTCAAACAGCGGAAAAACACTGCTGAGCTAGTTTGTCTTAAAATGAGAGCAAATATTAAATAAATTAAATATTTGGCACACACACACACACACACACACACACACACACACACTCACACACACACACACACACACACACACATATATCACTGACTTTGACCTTTGGAGAAACTTTGTATCTCCAAATCGTAACTTTACAGGAGAAGAAAAACCTACTTTACTTTTAATGTAAGTCAATGGAACCAGAATTTTTTCCAGGTCATTTTGGGCCGTTTCTTTTGATCCATTCATCATGAAATTTACACACAATGTAAAGGACAACAGGCATTTTCAAAATATCTCAAAAACTGAAAAACAGGTTTATATATATAAATGTGTGTATATATATATATATTTATGTATATATATATATATATATATATATGTGTGTGTATATTTCCACTTGAGAAGATGATACTTTGTGCAGTGACCAACACAAGTCTATCATAGACACAGAGCATTTTCCTTTTTAATACAAGAGAATCTCCATCAATCATCAGATGGAGCTGAGCTTTAGCTTTAATCTGTACAGTGAGAACCTGAGAGCACGTGGACTCGTGACTCGGTGAGTCTGAGCATGAAATGAAATCTGTTTTGTTTTCAAAGTGCTATTTTAGACCATTTTTATGTAACACAACTGTATGTTTCTGTACCGTTATGTAACTCTGAACAGTAACGGAACCAAACGGCTGAAGAAATCTGCTGTAATCCTGTTCAGAACACGCATAATCAGAACCCCCCCTCGGCCCCCAACCCCCCACCACCACACACAGACACACACCTGCAGCGTTACTGCAGAGGACTCAGTCTGAAATAATCGAGGGACGGCTGGAGATTAAAGGTCTGGAACAGCTTTACAGTACGAACCGTTAGACAGCAGCACTTCATCAGGAATGTGCATTAAAGGGGAACTCCACCATTACTGGTCTCAATAATTTGGTTATATATACAATAACAACTTTTACACTATAATTTCAAACTAGACACAAAAAGGTGTTTTAGATGTTCAGTCCAATATTTTTTTTCTTTTCTATTATTTTGTAATTATAATTATGGACTTTCTAATTTCCACTTTTTATAATACCTTATTTTCCATTAAGTGATATTAGATAACTGAAATAATATACTGCACCTGTTTACAGTATTTATGCTGCACTGCCTGAGATTTAAAAAGCACTTTGAAAATACAAGATATAAAAACTGAATTCTAGATATTCATTTTCTTAGAACTTAATTCAGTTAATGACTTTAAAATAACCCTGCGATGGACTGGCGACCTGTCCAGGGTGTATCCTGCCTTCTGCCCAGTGACAGCTGGGATGGGCTCCAGCACCCCACCGCGGCCCAGGAGGACAAGCGGTTTAGATGATGGATGGATGGATGGACTTTAAAATAACCTGAATACTAATTTCGTAATACCTTGTAATTAATTCATTTTAGTAGAACTTCATTCTGAATATTAATATTTATTAGAACTTCATTCTGGATATTAAATTTATTAGAACTTCATTCTGGATATTAATTTGTTTAGAACTTCGTTCTGGATAATAAGTTCATTAGAACTTCATTCTGGATGGTAAATTTATCAGAAATCATTCTAGATATTAAATCATTAGAACTTAATTTTGGATAATAAATTTTTGAGGCTTCATTCTGGATATTACATACATACATACATCATCTAAACCGCTTATCCTTCTGGGTCGCGGTGGGGTGCTGGAGCCTATCCCAGCTGTCATTGGGCAGAAGGCAGGATACACCCTGGACAGGTCGCCAGTCCATCGCAGGGCAGAGAGACAGACAGACATACATATACAATCACACACTCACACCTAGGGGCAATTTAACACGTCCAATCAGCCTGACTGCATGTCTTTGGACTGTGGGAGGAAACCGGAGAACCCGGGGGAAACCCACATTCTGGATATTAATTTTATGATATTTTTTCTGGATATTACATTTATTAGAACTTCTTTCTGGATATTAAATTGATTAGAACTACATTGTAGATATTCATTTTACTAGAAATTCATTCTGGATATTAATATTTATTATATCTTCATTCTGGATGTTAATATTTATTATATTTTCATTCTGGATGTTAATATTTATTATATCTTCAGTCTGGATGTTGGTACTGCATTGTGGTCATTAACTAACTCTGGATATCAGGTAAAAAATGAAAAGACAGACACAGACAGGGCCGAAGTCCAGATATTAATGAATTATTTTTTTTATTACGTCTGATTTTGTCATTAGGGTATAACAGTACCGATTGGCTATGAAATAACAATAATAACTACATACATTGAAAAATAAAGTGTTTCTGTTCTGCTACAGTTCCAGCAACGTGTTTCTGTTTAGTTGTGAGGTTCTGAGTGGACTCAGGTCTCTGTGCTGAGTGAATCCCTTTATCAGCCTGTCAATCAGAGCAAAGTGGAGAACATTCGACACAGAACAGCTGGAGACGACGACGACGACGACGACGACGACGACTCCAGTTTACAATCACAACACCGACTTTTCCTCTCAGCGTCACTGACTGGAGCGTCTCTGCTTTCTTCATCAGCTACCTTGTTTTTGAAGGATAAGTCCACTTATTTTTTCAAAATTTCTGAATAACTCAGTGTGTGAGATGTAAACAGAGCGATTCAGAGTGGTTTGGGGTGAAATGGTTCAGATGTCTTTACAGTGGTGGTGATAGGAACCAGGGGTCGCCATGACTACAACACAAATATAGACATTTTATTTACTATCCAGAACCACCAGTGAACCTACACGAGTCTTCTGAGTTTATATGGAATGTTGATGATGGGAAATAGTGGAAAATCTGAAAATAATAAGTTTTCTTTGGGGACTATTTTGCCTCACAACGCCCTGCATGTATCCCTCCACCATGAATGGAGATAAAAATACAACCAAAACCTTCTTAACTACATCAAAACAGTGTCTCAGTCATCAGGCAGTGAATTCATAACCATTTCATGTAGTAACTTTCTGTGAGGGAGCTTTTAGAGGTGGACGTCTGGTTCCTATCACCACCACTGTGAACAGTTCTGACTCTAAGTTTATCTAGAGCAGAGCTTTTCACACCAAACCACTCTGAATGACTCTGTTTACATCTTAACCAACTAATTACGCAGATTTTTTTGAAAAGTCAGAGCTCTCCTTTAAACATTAACCACATTTAGCCTTACTGCTGCGAGTGCAAGCTCTCCATGCTATCAAATTTTAGCAATGAAATAATACCACAAAAAAAACCCCACTGATTTTGGTGGTCATTAGTGGTCATCACCCAACCCCAGTTTCAGTTCTCTTGAAATGTCCCAAGTGCTGAAAACTGAAAACATTTATTGCTGTCTCGGTGAATCTGAATATGCATTTAGCACTGAATCTGTACGTATATTAAACATTCACTCCAGTACCTAAGACTGTACAGTACCTAATATCAAACGTATCGTTACAGTTATTTGTGTTAAGATAAAAAACACATGCATAACTGACTCCTGCTGGACGCAGGACAATGGAAAGCATTGGAAAAGATTTGGCACAGTGATAACGAAAATTACTGAATATTAAACCCAGCCATGCTAGTGATACAAACTGACCAATACTCAGATTATAAAATGTATAAATTAAAAAATAAAACAAGACAGAGCAAAGAAGAACAAGATGCTCCGCAGACATAATTCACTTAAATAAAAAAAATTAAGACAACAAGTAAAAGACAAAATAATAATTATTATAATAGTCATAATTAACTGCTACAAATAGGGCCGTCTTATTTAGGTTTAAAGCGATAGTTTGGCATTAAATCAAATTTACCCAGAGGGCAGTGATGAGTAATCTTTATTTATTTGATGTTTTTATTAGAAGCTTTAGATGGCAGTGTTTGTTTATTTGACGTTTGTTAATGACACCTTTAGAGGGCGGCGCTGAGCGACGTTTGTTTATTTGATGTTCGTTGACGATGCCTTTAGAGGGCGGCGCTGGGTGACGTTTGTTTATTTGATGTTTGTTAATGATGCCTTTAGAGGGCGGCGCTGAGCGACGTTTGTTTATCTGATGTTCGCTGACAATGCCTTTAGAGGGCGGCGCTGAGCGACGTTTGTTTCTTTGATGTTTGTTAATGACTGCTTTAGAGGGCGACGCTGAGCAACGTTTGTTTATCTAATGTTTGTTGACGACACCTTTAGATGGCGGCGCTGAGTGACGTTTGTTTATTTGATGTTTGATAATCACACCTTTAGAGGGCGGCGCTGAGTGACGTTTGTTTATTTGATGTTTGATAATCACACCTTTAGAGGGCGGCGCTGAGCGACGTTTGTTTATCTAATGTTTGTTGACGACACCTTTAGAGGGCGGCGCTGAGCGAAGTTTGTTTATCTAATGTTTGTAGACGACACCTTTAGAGGGCGGCGCTGAGCAACGTTTGTTTATCTAATGTTTGTTGACGACACCTTTAGAGGGCAGCGGTGAGTAACAGTTTGTAAACCGGGTAATTTTTTGGCCAAACTATCGCTTTAAGTACTAAATAAGGGTAAAAGAGGGATTTGGGGTTTTTTAAAAATGAAAATTTTAGCCACGGCATCATTCTAACCCTTCTTAATGATGCCTGCAGCTGGGTGTGATTTGAGACACAGCCCAAACAGCTACAATAAACGTGGAGTGATTCGGGACACGGCCCTGAGGGAGCGAGTGGAGTGGAAGAGTAAGGTAAACATTCAAGTAAAAGCATAACAGGTTCATAAATACAGCGTCTGTAAACATGTCCAATACAACGTCTCTACTGTCCGCTAATCTGGGCTATATTAACACAAAACAAGCAGTCATAACTCAGCGTTACCACAGTACGAACTGCAGACGTAGTGGATTCTCACTCTGGCCTTCATGCTGTACCTCGTTCCACTAAAGAAGGTGTGTTTGTGTTAAAGGAAACGCTCAAACATGCTAAAGTCGCTAACAGTGAATGAAACTGAACAGCTGCCAGTTAGCATCGCGCTAACAGCATCATGCAAATTATTGCTTACTGATCTCCATTCACTGTTCGCTATGTTAGCATACTTGGTTGACCTATGCACTTAAAAAAGATGGTTCTGCAAGGGTTCTGCGGTAAGGTTCTATATAAAATGGTTCTTCAGATTGATGGAGAATGTGTTGTATTTGGTTCTATACCGTAAAGGGTTCTGCTACTGTTGCGATGCCAAGCTTGCATACAATAGAAGAACGCTTCTTGGTGCTGTATAGAACCATTTTCAAAAAAGGTTCTATTTAGAACCACATACAACACATTCTCCATCATTCTGAAGAACCCTTTCACCATACAAAGAACCATTTAAGCTTGACATGGTTCTATAAAGAACTCATGGTTCTAAACAGAACCACCGCCTTTACTAAAGAGACCTAGAAGAACCATCTTTTTGCAGTGTGTTCTTCTTTAACTGTGGTGTACAGGAGTGTTTTGCATTGTTATTGTGCAGTCACAGCACAGTGTTAATGGAGAGCTGTAGTAGAGAATTATGGGAGTTGTAGTTTTAGCAGTAATTGTAGTTTTAAGCAGAAGCATCAGGCAGCCACAGGGGTTTGTTTTGCTCCTGTTCCACAATGGCCATCACCTGAGTGCAGATAGAAGAGAGAGGTCCACCCTGCACCACACCTGCAACGCAAAAACAAACATAACGCAGTATTAACACCGTGTTAACCCTTTATTGGCTGCTATGTAATCTATCAGAGCCCAAAGGTTCAAAAACATTGCTGTGGTGAATCGTTATGTGCCAAATGATTCAGAACGGATCTGCCTTAATGACTTATTCCGTGCCAAATGATTGGGCACTGAACTACTTTGGTGAATCATCATATACAAAACAAATCAGCACTAAAACTGTTCCTGGGCCAAACGTTCTAGTACCGAACTGAGCTGCTGAATCATTATGTGATAAATGATTCAGCACTGAAGTGTTTTAGCAAACCATCCCATGCCAAATGATTCAGCATTGAACTACTTTGGTGAATTAACATTTGCCTAACAATTAAGTGATGTGATGCTTTGGTCAATCAACCTGTGTGCAACAACTCAGCACTGAACCATAATGTGACAAACAATTCAGCGCTGAACTTCTTTGATGAGTCGTTCAGTGCCAAATGATTCAGCATTAGCTTTGGTGAATCCATCATACGATTTAGCACTGAACTGTTTTGGTGAATCATCCTGCGCCTAATGATTTAGCACTGGATTACTTTTGTGAATCATCCTGGGTGCAATTCTTCAGCACTGAACTGCTTTGGTGGCTAATACTACACAAGAGTTCTTTATTAAAGAAAATGGTTCTATATAGAACCATGAACACTCATAGAACCCTTTGTATAATTAGTGGGTCCTTTGCCTCATAAAAGGGTTCTTTGGATTGATGGAAAATATGCATGAATGTGCCATAGACAGGTCTGAACCTTTTTGAAAAGGGTTCTATATCGTACCCAAAAGCATTCTTCTGTTACAAGCTTGACACTGTACCAGTAAAAGAACTCTACTGGGTGCTATGTAGAACTATTTTCAAAAACACAGAAGAACTATTTAGAACTATGTAGAACTATTTTCTACAACATAGTCTCCATCAACCTGAAGAACCCTTTCACAAAGCAAAGAACCCTCTAATTATGCAAAGGGTTCTTTACATGTTCATGGTTCTATATAGAACCATTTTCTTTACTAAAGAACCCTTGAAGAACCATCTTTTTTAAGTATGTATGACAAACGATTCAGCACTGAACTGCTTTGCTGGCAGATTCTGTGTCAAACAATTCAGCACTAAATTGATTTGGTGAATCATAATGTGACAAACGATTCAGCACCGAACTGCTTTGTTGAATCATTACGTGCTAAACAATTCTATACTGAACCGCTTTGGTGAGTCGTTCAGAGTCAAATGATTCAGCATTAGCTTTGGTGAATCCATCATACCACTTGGCACTGAACTGCTTTGGTGATTCATCCTGCGTCTAATGATTTAACACTGGACTACTTTTGTGAATCATCCTGTGCGCACATCTTCAGCACTGAACTGCTTTGGTGAATCATCATGTGTCCAACGATCTGGCACTGAAATGCCTCGGTGAATCATTATGTGCATTATTCAGCAGCGAATCGCTTTTGGCAAGCCACTGGTTTGTGCCAACTTATTTTGCATTGGAGCCAAACAAAGCAGCACTGAAAGTCTTTATTAAATCTTCCTGTGACAAACAATTCAGCCCTGAACTGATTAGGTGAATCAGAATGTGACAAATGATTCAGCCCTGAACTGATTTGGTGAATCAAAATGTGACAAACAATTCAACACTGAACTGCTTTGGTAAATCAAAATGTGACAAACGATTCAGAACTGAACTGCTTTGGTGGCAGATTCTGTGTCAAACAATTCAGCACTAAACTGATTTGGTGAATCAGAATGTGACAAACGATTCAGTACTGAACTGCTTTGGTGAATCATCCTGTGTTCAACGATTTGGCACTGAAATGCCTCAAGGAACCATTATGTGCCAGACGACTCAGCACCGAATCGTTTTTGGTTTGTGCCAACTGATTATGCATTGGACTATTCTGGTGAATCATTATGTGATAAACGAATCAGAACTGCTTTAGTGAATCATCCTGTGGAGTGTATGTTTCTGCGCTGTCTGAATGCAGACAGGGGTTGTATATACCTGTAAAATATTTGCTGTATTCCTGCTCCATTTTCTGAGCCGCCTCAAACTGCTCCTTGGAATGTTTCTGAGACACTTTATCCCGCAGATACACCGGATCCTTCTGCTCCCTACAAACGGACACAGAGAGATGAATGTAGGAGGCCGAGGCTGGCCCAGGAGGGGCAGTTCCATCCCCTGACCCCCACTGTTCTGATCACTTTAATTAATTAGGATAATCCAGTCTGCATCAGCGGGACACACTAATCACTCTCTAATCACCTCTACAGGCACTACAATGCTGCACACTATCACATACACAGAGCAGAGAGGCCGACGCTGGAGAGACTTACTTGATCTGCTTTGCGTTTTTGTAGCGAATGAAAATGACGATGGGGTAAATGCTAACACTGTGGAGTCGCTCGATGGCATGAGGGGCGATATCGATCAAACAGTGACAATCCTGAGAGAGAGAAAGAGAATATGAGATGGAGAAAAACAGAAAGAGGGCAAGACAAAGGACACTGAGAATGGAGTGACATGAGTTAAGTCTCAAGGCCCAGTCCCATTTCACCCCTCACCCCTACCACTTAGCCCTACCCCTCTGTTTAGCGTGTTCACGTCTAGGGGTGGGGTGTCCCTGATTCCTGCTGAGATAGAGGGGATAGGGCGAAGTGTTGGGCCTACATGACCCTCCAAACGGAGGCTTTTCAGAGACTCCAAACAGCGAGTTATTAGAAAAAAAGAACAAACGCAAGATGGAGAACAAGAGACCAAAGAAACACACAAATGTGAGAATTTTCTCTGGTAAACAATATGAAAATCATTGTATTGTCTTAGTTTAATGTCGTTTCAATGTTTTATGGTCCTTTTCTTGATTACCAGCATAAAAAAAAAATCACTAGTAGTGCTGACGTCTCTGTAGCTAGCTAAATTTGCAGTTCCACCTTAAATAGTGCAGCAGTTACATTCTGGCACCTCCGGCATCAGAACTGCTGCTCCATTTAAGGTGGAACTGGAAAATCCAAACAAGAATCTGGTGAATATCTGACTTCAGCTTCATATCACTGAAGAATTAATGGTGGGTGATCATAAATAATTGCACCCCTCTTTGAAGGTATATGATGCCCTAAATGTAACTAAAGCCCAGCAGTGAGGAGCTGAACTTTACCCCCCTCTGCTGTCACTGCAGACTGGCAGGGTCGCCTACAGAGCAGCGCTGGTAGCTGTTAATGAAGTGATGCTCTTTTTATTTGAGGGTCCCATTTCAGAGGGACGATCTCAACCACTGCCCTGTAACTCAGCTCTAAGGGGCATGTGACACTCGAAAACAAGGTCTAGGGGTACAAATAAGAAATGGGACTGGGCTTGCGTCTCTGGTGTGCAAGTCCAAGTCAAGTCTCGAGTCTTAGATCATTAGGAACTGGTCAGTCAGTCCTGCCGAAGGTGAAGACTAAACGTAGAGAAGCAGTGTTTCGCTACTATGCTGCTCTTAAATGGACCCAGTGGACAGGGCGCATTAGAAGAGCCCCGACACTGGACACTTTAAATCAGCCTGAAAACGTTCCTGTTAGAGCAGCTTTCAGCTCAGTTTAAACACTGTTAGCTCTACTGCACTTCCCTCCTCTATCGCTGCTCTATTATCTTCATTTAATCTTCAATTTGATAAAGTTTGTCACTCTTAATTTAATCAGTTTCGATTGTGTTTTTTCAGGCTGAAACTTACGAGTCACGTCTTGAGCCTGAGTCGAGTCGCAAGTCAGTCCCAAATCTCTGAAATGTGTAACACAAAATACCTGAGTAACTTGCTGTCATTTGCATTTTCTGACATCAACAGAGCTTTTACAGCCTCTACTCTTCTGAGAAGGCTTTACACTGTACAAGCTGTTTGTGCACTGTCTGGATTTTCTGGATACTTTTGGACGTATAGCGTATCTCAGTGTTGGGCCAGTTCACACTGAAAACGGATGAGTTCAAAGTCCAGTTCATACTAATGAAAATGAAACAAGTTCGTGATCACTTGTTTCTTGTTTTCTCAATAAATAGGCTGCTATGCTTTTTCAATAGAACCCCTTTCTACCCATCCCATCACCAGCCCAACATCATTACTACTCATAAACTAAATGAATTATTCTATATCACTGAACAATCTCATACATGAGGTACATTTAAAACATTGTTACATTGGCTTTTAATGTTGAGACTGAAAATATATTTTAACACAAATAATTTGTCATATTATGTTGACGATGAAAAAAGTATACAGTATATGAAAATTTCATTTAGACAATATTGATGTATGCAGCAGTTCAAAACAACAAAATGGATTCATTCTGATTAATTAAAAAAAACAAAAAACTCCAGAATAAGCTGTACTGTAACAACACCAGACAAATAATGTAAACAAAGGAACCAGCTGTTTCAAAGGCTCAAACAAACCGACTTCTGCAGTTACGTCTCTACCGCTCATCAGACATGCTTGGCTGTGTCTATGGAAACATCATGCAGTGATAGTGAACATATGAACGTGTTCATGCACAACACTGGTGTACATAATAGGGGTGGGGAAAATCGATACAGTATATTATTGTGATATTTTACATTTTGCAATATTGTATTGATATATGGACACCGAGTATCAATACACTCTCTCTCTCACCAAGTATCAACAGTTTATTATATACACTGCAAATAAAAATTAGGTACGGTCAGCAGAGGTGACATTCAGCGAAATAAGTCAGAACAAAGACGGAGGCATCGGAGAAAAAATCAGAAATGCGCCGTCTGCTTTTAAATCAAACGTCTAGACCACTAATTGGCGGACCGTGGTCTGAGTCTGGACCCAGACGCTGTCCTATGCGGACCTGGACCTGTAACCGATAAACTATGGAGAATTATTTAATTTCAAAGGGGTGGTCCTATTTTAATCGGCGTAACATTTCTAGCCTTTACGGTAGCTTTAGCGGCCCGGAAGACTCACAGACCAATCGCATGCGCTGTAAATATCACACGTGACGCTACTCAGCCAATCAGACCTGTGCATTACGATGAGCACTGAGACTCGAGTGAGTGACGCACACAGGGGAGGGACGAGGGAGAAACAGCAGTTGGAGAAGAAAGTGAGTCAGAGGGAAGTTATTTCACATGTCGTGATCTAAAAAGAGAAAACTGATAATAAATGTTGTTGAAATATGACTGAACTGTACTTTATTTGATTTGATATTCAGTTGTTGACTGTATAAAATGTTGATATACCTACTGGGCTACTTCAGTAAACAGTATATGGCACTGAATCATGATGCAAGTTAGACATTATGATGTTCTGGACCTTTGCTTGAGGAAATTTTCTCTAACTGGACCTTACTGAGTTTTAATTAAATACCGCTGGTCTAAACATTTTTTGGAGGAAGGACATGAATATGACGTGATTTTCAAGAAGTCTAGTAGGAAAATGAAATACTCTGAGAATACTACGAACATGAGGGCTCATATTTAGGACACTGGAATCCAGGTATGTGACTCCATAGCAACGTTTTTTCACTGACACAGCCGTTGTAAAGCTGTACAGAGAAGTGAAGCTTAAAGTTGAGGAGTCTTTGAGAACAGCAGAAAGGATTGCATTAACTCGCGACACATGGACGTCAAGGGCAGTGGATTCTTATGTGACTATAACAGCGCATTATCTCACAGAGGGCTGGAGACTGAAGACCTCCTACAAAATGGAGTGCAAGAATCGGGGATTACCGACAAAAACCTGGCAGCTGTATTTGAAGTTGAAAAAAGTTATGTTATCGGAATAATCTACATATCGCTAAATGTTTAAAATCGCAATAACATCATATCGTGACTTAAGTATCGTTATAATATCGTATCCCCACCCATAATACATAAAAACACTTGCTGTCCCACACGTCGACTGGTTTAACTCAAAACGTTCAATTTTTTTCACTAACAGGTTTATCTTCAAAACAAGCCAAACTAACCTTTTCTATGATTTCTTTAATGGACGCCACCGTGGTCACGTCGAAAGTGTCCACTCCTGCGTTTGTAGTCGATGAAGAGGCAGTCCTTCACTCCACGCTCGATCGCCTGCTGGGACGCCTTCATCACCTCTAACGAAGACACACAAAACAGAGGCTTCCATGAACGTCAGCGCTCTCTAATTACACATACGGGCCCAGTCCCATTTCAGCCCTCGCCCCTACCACTGAGCCCTTAGCCCTCCGTTCTGCACGTTCACGTCTAGGGGTGGGGTGTCCCGATTTTTGTTGAGATAGAGGGGGAGGGTGAAGTGTTGGGGCTACATGACCCTCCAAACGGAGGTTTTTCAGAGACTCCAAACAGAGAGTTATGAGAAAAAAAAGGAAAAACCTCAAAATGGAGAACAAAGAGACCAGAGAAACACACAAATGTGAGAATTTTCTCTGTTAAAAAATTACGATAACCACTGTATTATCTTAGTTCAATGTCGTTTCAGTGTATATCGGTCATTTTCTTCATAACAAGCATAAAATCACTAATAGCATGCTAATGTCTCGGTAGCTAGCTAACTAAATTTCTCATTCCCCCTTAAATAGTGCAGCAGTTCTGACGCCTGAAGCGCCAGAATGTAACTGCTGCACGATTTAAGGTGGAACGGGAAAATTTGAACAAGAATCTGGTGAATATCTGACTTCAGCTTCATATCACTGAAGAATTAGGGGTGGGTGATAATAAATAATTGCCCCCCTCTTTGAAGGCAGAGGATGCCCTAAATGTAACTAAAGCCCAGCAGTGAGGAGCTGAACTTTGCAGTGTTTAGCATATTGGAAAGAAAAAATTAAATATAAAAATGTGATGACTTACATTGACACATTTTTTTTCCAATATGATAAAATCAGCAAATAAACAGTAATTGTGTATTAAATTGTGCAGATGTGTTCACTGTAGAGGATACGCATCACACAGCAATACTGTCATATTATCTGTTTTAAAGATGCTCAATTGCCTTATCCAGCAGTGCCACAGTGATCTCTAGAGTGACGTTTCTCAGTTTTAAGACTAGGAAAGCTCCCTTCTGCTGATGTATCTTGAAGGCAGGGGACACTGTTTGTTTTTTATCTAGCCAGCAAACGCAGAAGGAAGGCAGACAGCTTGTGTTACGGCTAGAAAGCCGAATGTCATACTGCAGCCGAATAACTATAGTATTTGTCTTCAAATTATTCATTCAGTGGAATGAATGTCTGTTTAATTCTAAGTAATAAAGAAAAGCTGGAAAAAAATATTTGTTTATTTGTACTTATTACATTTGGTGAACCTCATGAAATGAAAAATGAAATATTGGAACTTTTAAGTTATTCTCTCGATCGTGGCGTCTGTAACTGATACCTACTAGTAAATGAAAAATTTGTAAGTGATTCATAAGTTATTTGCTTTGATTGGTTGTATATTGATTAGTGAAAGGTAATAACTGATGATGTTACCCAGAAGGCAGCGGCAGTATTTCCCAGGAGCCTCTCTGACCAGCATGTCTTTAATCGGCTCCACCAGCGGCCCCAGAACCAGCACTGGCCTGCGATTGGTCGACTCCACCTTCAGCACTCGCTGGTATGCCAGACTTATACAGTCTACTGACACACACACACACACACACAGACAAATATACACACACACACCACACACACATATATATATAAATATACACTGACCTTCAAAAGTTTGAGTACACTTTTGCTTCTTTTGAAATTTTTAAGAGTAACATCCGATTTGCACTGTTACGTTTTAATAAAGTAAGAAAAATAAACTACAAAAGTTTGGTTTATCATAAAGTCTATCTGTGTTGATGCTTTGGGTATTTTCAGCCTCAGCACTCGGCTTTATGTTCATCAAAGTGAATCACCTTTTCCCCCCAAATACAAGAGTTTGATGTATGTAAACACTGTTAAAGCTTTAAACCCCCCCCCCTCACCCATAGAATCCATACATGGAAACGAAACTGCTCAAAAAAAGCTCATTTTAATTTACTGTTTCTGTGATTTGCGCTTCAGCCTCAGTGCGTGAAATCAAGCGCCAGCCTACCAGCACCATATTTATAGATCATTTACATGAAGCACGCCCTAATTCATGCAGATGCTTCGGTAATAAGCCAAAAAAAACAGCATTCAGCAGCTCGGGAGACAATAGCTGTGCTTGTAGCTGGAGTTTGAGGTCGAGCAGTGAGTGCACTGCTCCCCCTACTGACCAAACTACTTCATAGCATTAAAATTGCATTATATAATATTACGTTATAATATTTAAATGCTGTATTATTGCAGTGTGTGATACTAGCTGTGTTCTGTGGTGTTTATTTTGTGGACGGAGTCGGTCGTATAAAACAAAATCACAGAGTAATATACCTTTAAATGGAACAATGTGCATGTAAAATAAGTACATTTACTTTTGTACTGAATTGCTGTGCATAAATTATTAGTGTTACTGTTATTTTTAATTTTTATTCTCATTGATATTATAGATTGATTGATAATAGTTTTGGTTTAGTTAACCATAAATTAAGCATGTTTTTCTTGTTTAACTATAATGCTCAAATTTGCACACGTTCCTATTAGTTTGATCTTAAAGGAACGACTAAGATGAAGAAAACTGACGAAGAACAAAACTGCTGGTTAATGATGACGATGATGATGATGACGATGATGATGATATTTAAGTCTGCATCAAGATTTATAAAGGTTTATAAAGTTTATGCTCTGCTCTCTCACCCTCAGTGAACGTTATAGAGTCTGTGCTGATGGAGTCCGGAGCCGGAGCGTCTTTTCCGTCTCTGGAGCCGCTGCGTTTGTGTTTGAGTTTCCGTCGGAAGAACGAGCGGCGAGCAGCCGCAGAGACAGTTTTACCCTCATCTTTACCCTCTGTTATGCTGCAGCGCCGAGGAAACTCCTGATCCATCCTACAGACACACAGACACACAAATTAACAGGCACAGAAACGCATCGCCAGCTTTAAGAAAGCCTTATATCCCTGAAAAAGCAAGGAGAATATTTTCAGGGTTTCATTTTAAATCCAATGTGCTGGAATATAAAGACATCACTGTCCGAATACCAGTATCAGAAAACACAGGTCAAAAACCTGTTTTGGAAAATACCTCCTCCAGCTGACAGCACATTTCAGTAACTTTGCCAAAAAACTGAATAATTCAGTCTAAACGATGTTCTCATTAAAGCAAAGGGGGAAAAAATAAGAAAACACTATGTAGCACAATTTAAGACTCAAAACTCTCCTGCATAGTAAGGAGTAATCAGTAGAAAGCATGAAATCCAATGAAATAAGAAAAAATTATTTCGCTTAAAAAATACATTTTTAGGAATTTTTTTAACACTTTTAAGTTTGGGTGTATCACTGAACGTAATACATCAACAGATCAGGTGACCTTGAGCTTGAGACCACCAAAGGGTGGTCTGTGGCCCTGTGTTTGAGAAACCCTGCTTATTCATCAGCTAAGAAGGTAAACACTTCCACTTTTTGAGACTCACATGTACTTGCTGGGAATCTGCCCTCGTGCCAGTTTCTGCGCGCTCTCATCCAGCTGCCACGCCAGCCAGTAGCCGAAGTTTCCGCTGGGCAGCGTGTCATCGACGTAGAGGATGTCGTCTTTCTTAAAGCTCAGCTCCTGCTCTGACTCACCCACGCGATCATACAGCGCTCTGGGAGATCAATAGAGACTTATTATATATCAATAACATTAACAAAAACACAAAACTCAGTTCAACTGCAGTTAATACTAACATTATACTAATATTAATAATTAATATTATTTTCTTATTATTTATTTATTTTTTTCGGTTTAAACATTCACTCTAGGCCTGTTTGACCATCACAGTCCTACCTTCACCATTTAGGGGAAAAATCAAGCATGCACGCAGTGTCAATCAACAACTCAACAACAGACTGAAAGTCAATTAATGCATTTGAGCCAATCAGGTGAGCTTATCATAACCATTTGGCAGTATTTCTGAATGGAATAATTCCATGTGTGTCACTAAAAGGGCTGTCAAAGTTCACATTTTAATAATGCATTCATTAATTAATAATTATTATTATTAACGCCACTAGTTTGAACCTTCGAGATAGCCATAGTAGTGCAGGCTGAAGCTCAGCTGCCTGTGCACTGTATGTTGCTATAATATAATCTGTGGAAAAACCAACAAGCAGCAAACTAACAAAAGCAGCATTCTGGTGGAGCTCCAGTTCCCCTCAAGAACCTCCACTGTAACAAGAACCCACGAGCTGTATAAAAGAGAGTGAGAGGCTAGAATCATAGAGGAGCTGAACCACTGACTGTATATATGGTATATATGATATATACACTCACTGACTGTATATAATATGATATATACACTCATTAGCAGATAGCGTACCTCTGTGAACAGTGTTCACTCTGTGAAAATGCTATATATAAATAAAATCATGTGATCTTCATGTTTAGGTTTGATGAAAAATGGTGTTATTAAATCACTGAAAGTAATAAATATATTCTGATGAAGCATATTTTGTCCTCTCACATAGCTATACCACAATGCAGTGCTTCATAAATGGAAACAAATCGTTCTTTAGGGTCAAATGTGGGCAAATAATACAAATTAAGATTCATTAATAAATTACTAGGATTAACCGTTTCACTGCACTAGTTACTGAACAGTCTGTATCCTCACTCTTACTCCAACATGTGGAAAGCAGAACAAGTAGGAGTGAGTAGGAAGCTCTTGCAGCAGCTACCTGACGTAGAAACCGTCCCCAGGTGTGTTTCTGATGCGTCTCCAGTCCTCAGGCCGGTTCTGCACTCGGAGAGTGACCGTCTCTGCTGGCTTCAGCATCTCCATATACGCCTCCTCCGCGGTTTTATTCCTCAGACTCACTGAGCAGAACTGAGAGAGCGCAGTGCTTAGAAAACCCAGCACAAACCAAACTAACACACACGTGAACAAATGCTGCCTTCAGTGTTCGACCTAAAAGCTGCACATGAACGTCCTTAAGTGACAATCACAAACAGGAACTTCTGATTTCAGAGGTTTCCGACTTCTTTCTGTTCCACCATCGGGGTAGGTACAGTTTCAGTGATTTTACAAAACAAGAATTAAGTCTCCATACCTACAGTATGAATCACACTACGCCTCTTTACGCCCAGTTTGAATCAGATTCTTTACATCCCTGTACAACAGTATGAATCAGATTCTTTACATCCCTGTACAACAGTATGAATCAATTCTTTACATCCCTGTACAACAGTATGAATCAGATTCATTATGCCTCTTTACCTCCAATATGAATCAGATTCTTTACATCCCTGTACCTCCAATATAAATCAGATTCTTCACATCCCTGTACTTCCAGTATAAATCAGATTCTTTACATCCCTGTACCTCCAATCTGAATTAGATTCTTTACATCCCTGTACTCCAGTTAAATAGATTCTTTACATCCCTGTACCTCCAGTATGAATCAGATTCTTTACATCCCTGTACCTACAGTATGAATAAGATTCTTTACATCCCTGTACCTCCAGTATGAATCAGATTCTTTACATCCCTGTACCTACAGTATAAATAAGATTCTTTACATCCCTGTACCTCCAGTATGAATCAGATTCTTTACATCCCTGTACCTCCAGTATGAATCAGATTCTTTACATCCCTGTACCTCCAGTATGAATCAGATTCTTTACATCCCTGTACCTCCAGTATGAATCAAATATGAATATGAATATGATTCATTACATCTCAGTACCTCTAGTATAAAGTCTCCAGGCTGCAGACCATCAGCGCCTCCTGCAGGGCTCTTCTCCTCCAGACTCTCCACAAAGACGCCCGTCAGGTTTCCTCCACAGATCTTCACCCCCAGCTCCACATGACCTTTCCTCACAGTCACATGCCTCGGCTCCACTGCCCTCCCGCCCTCGTTCCAGCCCCTGACCAACACGAAGCGCAGAAAACAAGCATTTTAGACCAATCACAACTCTCGCTGGGTCCTGTCAAAGCTGTTGGCCTGTGTAGCGATGGCCGAATTTCAGTACCTAAGGCAAGTCTATTTAAGTTTTTCCAAAATCTAGAAAGCTGATTGGCTGTCTAAATTACATTCCATTAATGTCAGACATTTTTACATTCTGTGCAAAAAGTTAAGATTAATTCAAAAAGTTAACTGTAAAAACTCGATTTCTGTGCAGATCTATATTATTTACATACAACATATATTTGTTTATTTCATTTCTTTCAAACATTTGTTTATTGATCTTCACAAAAGATCAAATGTCAATATGGAATGCAGACTGAATTAATACAACAATACAAAAAAAACAGCGTAGCATCTTAATAAATAATTTAAGAACATCAATAATTAACAATTATATGCATTATTTATAACATAATTGAACAAATAAATATAACTAAATAAATAAAATAATTACATGTACGCTACTGAGGTGTATTCTATTACATTAGCCAGACAGTAACAATTTTCTTACACTGGGATTGTAGGAAAGAACAATTTTTCTGCATAAGCCAAACTTCCTTTGATTTATTATTAAGTATTTTTATTTTTGTATTGAAATACCTTCAGGAATCAGTATCAGAGTCAAAGTATCAGAACTGGCATCAGTATAAAAAAATTTGTCATAATACTCAGCCTTAATTGTATCTACATTTAATATTACACCGATCAGGCATAACATTATGACCTTGTTTCTACCCTCATTGTCTATTTTATCAGCTCCACTTACTATATAGGGGCACTTTGTAGCTCTACAGTTACAGACTGTAGTCCATCTGTTTCTCTGATACTTTGTTAGCCCCCTTTTACCCTGTTCTTCAGTGGTCAGGACCCCCATGGACCCTCACAGAGCAGGTGCTATTTGGGTGGTGGATCATTCTCAGCACTGCAGTAACACTGATGTGGTGGTGGTGTGTTAGTGTGTGTTGTGCTGGTACGAGTGGATCAGACACAGCAGTGCTGCAGGAGTTTTTAAACACTGTGTCCACTCACTGTCCACTCTATTAGACCTTGTCAGCCCACTTTGTAGATGTAAAGTCAGAGACGATAGCTCATCTGCTGCTGCACAGTTTGTGTTGGTCATCCTCTAGTCCTTCGTTAGTGGTCAGAGGACGCTGCCCACAGGACGCTGCCCACAGGACGCTGCCCACAGGACGCTGCTGGCTGGATATTTTTGGTTGGTGGACTATTCTCAGTCCAGCAGTGACACTGAGGTGTTTAAAAACTCCAGCAGCACTGCTGTGTCTGATCCACTCAGACCAGCACAACACACACTAACACACCACCACCACGTCAGTGTTACTGCAGTGCTGAGAATGATCCACCACCCAAATAGTACCTGCTCTGTGAGGGTTCATGGGGGTCCTGACCACTGAAGAACAGGGTAAAAGGGGGCTAACAAAGTATCAGAGAAACAGATGGACTACAGTCTGTAACTGTAGAACTACAAAGTGCACCTATATAGTAAGTGGAGCTGATAAAATGGACAATGAGTGTAGAAACAAGGAGGTGGTCAGAATGTTATGCCTGATCGGTGTATGCTGAGGAACAGAATGGCAATATCAACAAATAAAAAAAGTTTAATTTTGATACTTATTATTTTATCGATCAGGTTCAGGTTCATGACAGTGTGGTGTGTTAAAGAGGTTTGTGTGTGTATGCAGTACCGGACTGAGTTGCGGGGGCTGGTTGCAGGTGTGGTGTTTTTGGATGGAGGCGTCATGGTTCCCTCGTCCTGTTCGCTGAGGGTGTCGATGGTGGAGCGAGCGTCAGGTGTTCCAGCACCGCTGCCGACGGGCGTAGAGCAGGCGCTGACCGACTCCATCCTGGAGCTGAGGACAGACCAGAGATCAGAGCAGGAAAACACATACAGAATCGTCTGGAGGGGTGTGATGGGTGTAGTGATGTTTCTATGGTCACCTGAGGTGTGTAGACTAACACCACACTCATACGCAGTAATGTGCAGATGACCCTTCATTTATACAATTTCCAGTCACAGCAGCCATCAAATACAAGTGATTCACTTTTCAGTCAGGAAAACAACGCAGAAAACATATTTAACAGGAAATGACACCGAAGCCTCAACAGCTAAATCTAATCTCAGCTATTCAGAGTTCAATGAGTCACTCTTTCCCTTTATTCCAGCTTCCGTTCTCTTCAGGAGACTCACCTTCAGTTCCTCAAAGAATCTGCAGACACGCCTCCAAAGTTCAGTCTTAGAAGCTGGTTGATCATTTTCTGAAGTAATCAAACACATTCAGTGGTGTTGAGGTCTGGACTCTGGGGTGGTCAGTCCATCGTTCAGCTTCTTTGTTTGATGTGTCCGTCTCCTTTTCTCAGTGAGGTTCTTCTTGATCAGCTACACATCCTTTCAGACCCACAGCGCTGAGTCATCTTCTCACAGTGGAAGGATGGACAGAAACACCTGTGGATGTTTTCAGATCTGAAGCAGCTTGATTTTCTCCTCTCTCTCAGAGATGAAAGCTTTAAGTGCTGTTTATCTGATGGGGGCAGTTTTGGGGTCGACCAGGTCTTCCAGGTGGTTGTTAGGAGCCCCATTTTCTCTGTAGCTGTTAGTCAGTGTTTGAGTTTTGGAACCTCATGTTTTTTCATTTATTTTCCTTTGACTTTCTCCTTCATTACGTAAGTGGATTATCTTACATCCAATCTCACAAATACCTCGTATTTGATGGCTGTTTTTTGAGTGGACATTAAATAAATGAGTGTGTGGCCTCTGACTTCTGCACAGCACCCCACAAATTGTTACATAAAATGCTGACTCAAAACACAAAAGTCGTTTTCCATAAAGTGACTTCAGTGAACAAACAAGGTTCAAAAGCTACTGCAGCTTTGATTTCCCCTTACAAAACTGCTTAGACCTTAGTACATGCAGCATCTGTCTGCACAGGATCTGAAGCTTGTACAGCTCTATTCTTTCTCTTTTTGGATCCTTTTGGTCTAAAATAAAATGCTAAATCTTCATAGTGAGAAGTGTGAACAACAGGAAAGCAGAACAGGAGCAGAACTGACACAACAGAATGAAAATAAACCCCCCAAAAAAAAGAATTAGGAACTAAACGTTAATGAGTACAATGGAGCTGAAAACATCTTACTCACTAATACACCAAACAAACACATGGAACTGAGTAACCGTAACTACTTTATAAACACTTCTGGTTGTCACGCTGGTGAAAAACGTGTAAATGCGCACCTGCTGCGCGAGTGGTTCCCCGGCTGGTACATGTGTGGGTTGTACTGGGCCAGTATAGTGATGGTGTCACACTGCTGACCAATAATGAGCCGAGCCTGCTGCTCTGTAGCATTTCTCAGGTTTATACCATTGACCTAAACAGAGAGAATAAATACTGAATTACTTGTTAAATAATGTGTATTTAAATTTCCATTTCAACCATAAAACAGGATTAATGTGCTGGTCTGCAGGTGTAAAGTGTTCATATGCAGGTGTAAAATTGATTTGCAGGTGTAGGTGTTGATCTGCAGGTGTAGGTGTTGATCTGCAGGTGTAGGCCCAAGCTGGATGTGTAAGGTGCTGATCTGCAGGTGTTGATCTGCAGGCGCAAGGTGTGGATCTATAGGTATATGCTGGCAAATGTATGGTACTGATTTACAGGTGTGAAGTGTTGATCTGCACATGTAGGTGTGGGTCTGCAAGTGTAAGTTGTTGATTTGTAGGTGTAAGGTGTGAGGTGTTGAACTGTAGGTGTAGGTGTGAGGTGTTGAACTGTAGGTGTAGGTGTTTGTATGCAGATGGAAGATGTTGGTTTACAGGTGTGAGGTGTTGATCTAAACATGTAAGGTGTCGATCTACAGGTGATCTACAGGTGCAAGGTGTTGTACTGTAGGTGTAAGGTGTTGATCTGCGGTGCAGATCTGCAGGCATAAGGTGTTGGTTTACAGGTGTTAAGTGTTGATCTGCAGGTGTAGGTGATGGTCTGCAGGTGTAAGGTGCTGATTTACAGGTGTGAAGTGTTGATGTGCAGGTATGAAGTGTTGATTTGTAGGTGTGAAGTGTTGATCTGCAGGTGTGAGGTGTTGATCTAAACATGTAAGGTGCCGATCTACAGGTGACCTACAGGTGCAAGGTGTTGAACTGTAGGTGTGAGGTGTTGATCTCCGGTGCCAAACTGCAGGTGTTGGTCTGCAGGTGTTGGTCTGCAGGTGTAAGGTGTTGAATTACAGGTGAGAGGTGTTGATGTGTAGGTGTGAAGTGTTGATCTGCAGGTATAAGGTGTTGATGTGTAGGTGTAGATTTATAGGTGTAAGGTATTGATTTGTAGGTGTAGATTTGTAGGTATAAGGTGTTGATTTGTAGGTGTAGATTTGTAGGTATAAGGTGTTGATTTGTAGGTGTAGATTTATAGGTATAAGGTGTTGATTTGTAGGTGTAGATTTGTAGGTGTAAGGTGTTGATTTGTAGGTGTAGATTTGTAGGTGTAAGGTGTTGATTTATAGGTATAAGGTGTTGATTTGTAGGTGTAGATTTATAGGTATAAGGTGTTGATTTGTAGGTGTAGATTTGTAGGTGTAAGGTGTTGATTTGTAGGTGTAGATTTATAGGTATAAGGTATTGATTTGTAGGTGTAGATTTATAGGTGTAAGGTGTTGATTTGTAGGTGTAGATTTATAGGTATAAGGTGTTGATTTGTAGGTGTAGATTTATAGGTGTAAGGTATTGCTTTGTAGGTGTAGATTTATAGGTGTAAGGTATTGATTTATAGGTGTTGATTTATAGATATAAGGTGTTGATTTTTAGGCATAGATTTATAGGTGTAAGGTATTGATTTATAGGTGTTGATTTATAGATATAAGGTGTTGATTTTTAGGCATGGATTTATAGGTGTAAGGTATTGATTTATAGGTGTTGATTTATAGATATAAGGTGTTTATTTGTAGGTGTAGATTTGTAGGTGTAAGGTGTTGAACCTCCAGCAGCTGATCTCCAAACTCCAAGTTGTGCCGCTGAGCGATGCTGCCTCCTGTAACCTTGGATACAAAAATCCCGCCGTTCTCCCCGCCCACAATGGAGATGCCTAATGGCTCCGCCCCTTTGGGGATAGTGACACTACGTGGCTCCTCAGTGTACGGCCTGCCAGGCAGAAAAAACACACATACATCATTATCTCGTTTCCACAACTTAATTATCTCATTGTCATACCTTACCAAGTCATGGCCACGACTTAACCACCACAACTTAAACATCTTATTTGCACGTTTCAACTTAATTTGCTTGTTTCTGCATCTCACTAAGTCGTGGCCACAACTTGAATTTCACAACTTATCACATTCATATACCTTACTAAGTCATGGTCATGCACTGAGAGCCCATTTCCACTCCTCAGTAAGTTGTGGCCATGCATTACTTTTATTAAGATGGGACGTCACCAGCTGGGCTTCATACTTTCGCTTTAAAGCAGAACAGAGGATTTTAAGTGGCAAAAACCCGACGAAGGGATTAGAAGCCTGACCAATACACTGGTTGGCCAATAATACTGGCCGATATGCACCTATAATTAGCAACTTTTTTGGCTGTAGAATTTCCTGGAATCCAAACTCAGGATTTGGGTTAAATTATCACAAACAGGTAAAATTCAAACATATCATTTAGCATTAGGCATAACGTTATAACACAAACATGTTTTATGAAGAGAACTCAGGAACAATAAGAAAAATAAGCCGAAAAAATGACCAGAAACCAAAATTAAGAATTCTGAGTAGCTCCATTCTCAATAATAAATATTTCTAAATATTTATATGATGTAAGACTGAGTTTCTGCTGTTCTTTTGAGTTGAAGGAGGGTGTTAACAGAGAACTGACAATCACTTTAACATTAAAATAGAAAATATAATGATATCAGCCAATTTTATTGGTCATCAGAAATACACGGTCAAGTCACATAATTATGACCACTTCCTACTTTCGCTGATGCAGCTTATGGTCTGGAGTTTTCGTGGCATTCTCAGGGCCCACTCATCCGTGTGGAAGGCACTCTCAACCGGTTTGGTTATGAATCCATCCTTGCAGATCATGTACACCCATACATGCTGACTGTCTTCCCTGGGGCGGATGTGATCCTCCAGCAAGACTAGAAGTGCTAGAAGTGTCCAACATTGGTTGGAAGAGCATGACCAAGACTTCCAAGTGCTCCCCTGGCCCCCTAATTCCCCAGACTTGAACCCAATTGAGCATCTGTGGGACCACCTCGATCGTCGTGTTTGCTCAATGGATCCTCCCCCCGCCCCCTCCAGCAGCTGTGGGATGCACTGCAGTCAGCCTGGCTCCAGATACCTGTGACACCCTACCAGGACCTTACTGAGTCACTCCCAGCCCCTCTGGCTGCTGTCCGTGCTGCACGCGGCAGTTACTCTAGTTATTAGCTGGTGGTCATAATCATGTGACTCGACTGTGTAAAACCCCTTCATAGGTCTTAAATGTTTTGTATCGATCAGGTCTTAGAAGGATCTCTCATCCCTGTGATAGAAACCGAGGGAAAGATTAAAAAATATTGAACCTAAAACCTCGAAAATAAAAATTAAATTAAAATGAAAAAACAGAGCAGAGCGCAGGTTTAAAACGTGTCTCTGCGCAGACAGGCAGCACTAACTTTCACCGTGCAGCAGAACCAACCTCAGGTTCCGTAGAGAGGAGAACCTCAGACGGGACGTTCGAGGGAGTCTGACATACGATCTGTTATGGAGCTGAGGTCTGGAGAAATGATCGAGGAGAGAGAGAAAAGGAAGAGTAGAGAGAAAGAAGGAAGAGAACGGAAAAAGAAGCAGACAGAAAAGGAAGAGGAGAGAAGGAAGAGAAAAGAGAGAAAAGGAGGAGAAGAAGGAAAAAAAAAAGGAGAATGGAGAAAATGAAAAGAAGAGAGAAAAGAATGAGTGAGGAGAGAAAAGGAAGAGAAGAGAGAGGAAAGAGGGATGATAAACACAGACAGGCTGTAGTAACGTGTGCAGGAGGAGAGACAGTGTCCAGGAGGGAAGCAGAGTCTAAAGGGGATGGAGGGGGGGGGTTCTGGGGGGTACATGGAGATATCTGTTTTTCTTTGTTTTGTTTTTATTATTATTTACAGAATTCCTGATTCATTTGATGATGAATGAACCAATAAAAATACTCCAAACTACTCAGAAAGAAACCTTGTTCCATTAACTTCCATTTCAAGGTTAGGAATGATTTTTCCTGCTGCTGTTAAGTTGTGAGATACGGAGTTTAATCACGACAGCGATGAAATTCCCACTGATGAAACTAAAGAAACAAACTTCAGATCCCAGCTGATCACCTACATTTAGATAACAAGGGGATACATTCGATTTTTAGCTGAACTACGACTGTAAAGCATCGTATATTTGATTATACAACAGTTAGTTCCAGCCACGCAAGCTGATTGGTTGAGAAGCGTCTCTAACTGAGCTGTTATTTCACCATAACATCACAGGTTTTTTACAAACACTGTATCACTCCGCTGAGACGCCGTTGCTAAGCAACAACTTGAAGAGACGCTCAAGTCATCTGAACGTTTTTACTTCTCACTTTGCCACAAACAGAAAACGGACACTTTTAAGATCACATTTGACCGACAGCCGATTTGGTCAGACTCTGAAGATGAGACGACACTAAATTCCCAAACTGTCGTCACCACTGAGCAGCTTTTCAGTCGGCAGCTGTGACAGAAGAACAGCTAAACAACCTGGAATCAGCCAGAAATGAACCCAACACCATTCGCCAAACTAAATGGGCTGTAAGATGCTTTACAGACTGGCTGGAACAAAACAACATTAATACTGATCTGGCAAAAACTGACAAAACTGAGCTGAACTTGATATTGGGGCAGTTTTATGGCTCAGTCTGATTTGGTCAGACTCTGAAGATCAGACTACACGTTTGGCGAATGGTGTTGGGTTCATTTCTGGCTGATTCCAGGTTGTTTAGCTGTTCTTCTGTCACAGCTGTCGACTGAAAAGCTGCTCAGTGGTGATGACAGTTTGGGAATTTAGTGTGAGGAGCTGGAGAACGAACTGCCGGCTGTGCAGCGAGTGGGCGGAGCTCGTTACTCTGACGTAGCAACAAGCTGCTCGTTAAGGAACTATAATTTGGTGAAGGAACTGCGAACATTAAAACATATTAAACGCCGCGTTCACGGCCCAGTTTATTAATTTATTACTGTATTTATTTAACTGTTGTATTAAAGCAGTAGAACACTCGAGGAGTGTGTTATCGCCAATAACATCACGGCTGTGATGATCTACGGTGACCAAATCACAGCCGTGATGTTATTTCGCGATAACACACTCCCTCTCGGGTTTTACTGCTTAAGTAAATGAGTCTGAATAAATGTGAGACACTGAAAATAGAGCTGAGCAACATGACAATATATATCATTATCATGATGAATCACGTCACAATACAATACAATACGCTTTTCTGAACACATGGTGGATATCGTCAGTACTTGTAAACTCCTAAAAAAGATGGTTCTTCAAGGGTTCTTCAGTAAAGACATTGGGCCTCATTTACCGACCGTTCTCAAGAAGTAATTTCGTCTTAAACCCACTTACGCAGTTTTTATTGAAGATTCTGACTCACTAATGTTCTCTAATCTGGGATTTGTTCTCAGGTAAGAACAGAATCTACACACACTCAAGAGCTCAAAGGTGGGAACAGTTCTGCGCTTTAAGAACACGTCATAAATCTGACGTAGACTTTTTCTTAGAACCTTTCTCAAGAATATGTTTAAGAACAAACTTAGGAAGATACTGGTGAATCAGGCCCAGTGTTTCTATTTAGAACTAGGAATACTTAAAGAACCATTTGCATGATTAATTGGTTCTTTGCATGGTGGAACAGTTCAGTTTGACGCAGAACGTATTGTATATAGTTCTATATAGCACAGCGTTCTTCTATTATGCACAATCTTGACATCGTAACAATGGAAGAACTCTTTCTGGTGCTACATAGAACCATTATCAAAACAGTTTTATATAGAACCGTATACAACATATTCTCCATTAATCTGAAGAACCATTTAAGAACAAACTTAAAAAGATACTGGTGAATGAGGGCCAGTGGTTCTATTTAGAATGATTCAGTGGTTCCTTGCATGGAGAAATAGTTCTTTAGATTGATAGAGAATTTGTTGTATATGGTTCTATATAGCATTGTATACAATCTTCACATCATAACAATAGAGGAACCCTTTTTGGTGCTATACAGAACCATTATTTTTTTAAAAAAGATTCTATATAGAACCAAATAAATGCATTCTCTACCAATCTGAAGAATATTTCACCATGTACAGAACCATTTAAGCGTGCTAATGGTCCTTTAAGTGTTCATGGTTCTAAACAAAACAACTGTCTTTACTAAAGAACCCTTAAAGAACCATCTTTTTTAAGAGAGAACAATTCTGACCAACTGCCTGTTTTATTACAAACAGAGCAAACTTAGTCCTGTTTAACTGTATTTAGTGCCAAATATTGAATAAAAATAATTTTATTCACAGTTTTTGATTGTATTTTTTAGAACTTATGACTGTTGGTTCTTTTTTCTCAGTTCCAGCTGATCAGAAGTCGTAAATAATAATTATCCTGACGTATCGTTTATCGAGAAAATTAGTATCGCGATATTATACGCTTGCCATATCGCCCAGCTCTACCTGAAACACAGACGTGCTTAAAGAAGCAGTGAGAGACCAAGAACCTAAGCAGAACCATCACAATGTTTGTATGAATGCTTGTGGTTCTACCTTTCTTTCCGCCTGTCCCCGATTGGTGCAGGGCTGACAGACAGTCTGGGCTGAGCGGAGAGGGAGCCGTGCGATTGGCTGCTGGTGAAGGAGGCGGCATCCGAACTGAGAGGAGAAAGGGGCGGAGTCACCAGGCTGGGACTGCTGCCCTCAGAGTGAGAACCTGAAACACATACAAACACATCAGGGGCCGTATTATAGAAACACCTCAACTCTGAAATCTGATCTGTTTAGTCTCCATGACGACTGGATTTAGTTCAGTAGCTGTTACAGAATAACAGTTCCTAACTTCATAATCTCATCATGAACTCCAGATAAGAAAACAGCATCACACAAACATCCTGACTAGACTAAACCTCCTAAATCCTGTCCTAACTTTAGGATGAACCCCAACAGGGTCCTCACTTCTGTTTAAGGTCCGTTTCTATGGTTTTTAGGCAGCTGAGTCAGCAGCATAGTTCACTACCAGCATAATGAGCTCCATTTATTTCTACTGTAAAACGCTGCTTTCACTGTGAGATGATTTTCTTTTCTAACTCTGCGTTTTAAAGATCTCAGACGCTGCAGACTCGATCTCCACCGCCCCTCTGATCACCTTCGTGTGTTAATGTTGATGATGAAATATTACAGTGATGGTGGTGAATAATGAGGAGACGGAGCTGAACGTGTGTCTGTTTATTAGGAGGAGTAACGTTAGCGCGCTCGGCTAAAGCGTTTGGGAAATGGAAACTGAAACTGGGGAGCGGCGACGCTCTGATGAACAGCAGGGGGTGCTGTCACAGTATTCACCACTTACAGTTTATCAGACTTCAGTTTTGTTTGACCCTGTTTTGGTACATCAGTAACGGAAGCTGCCTGGCTAACTAGCTTGACTATTTTGACTACATGTTTACGTTTCAGCTGTGCGCATATGGTCGGTTGCTAGGTAACAGACACAGTTGACTTTGATCGAGCAGCCCCAGGTCAATTTAAGTGTCAGGTAACTTGCAAGCAAACACTGCCCCAGCAGGTCAGTGTAGCAGGTCAGTGTAGCAGGTCAGTCTAAAGGCCGTATGAGGTTTTGCTTTATATCAGAAATGGGACTCTAATGAGCCAAAATTTCTTATTTTGGGAGAAAGAAGAAAAAGTAAAGATGCACAAATTAAGGTTTATATCGTAATTAAGAGCCCATCAATTGAAATGGGCACTATTTAATAACATTTAAGGCTTAATATTTATACAATTTCAGACAAAAAGACTTTTTAAAGAGCTGTAAGAAGACAGGCAGAGCTTCAGCAACATGGTTTCATGTTTCATAAACCTCTCCCGCAGTCACTGAGCTGAGCAGCCACATGACAAAGAAGCAGAACCTGATTGGTCCTCTTGTGCTGACTGGCTCGCAGGCTGAGCCTTATAGCAAAGTTAGAGTTTGACTTTGGAACCTTTTTTGTAGATAAAGAGTCCAAAAGTGCACACAGCTTTAAAAACACCTCACATGATGTTAAAAATTTGTCACAAATATGTGAAAAACTCAATTTTGACAAAAATGCCAGACAGAACCTCATAATTCCAAGGGGCCGAAACATCAAGCCAACTAAAAATTTAATGTCAGTTAGTTGTTGCAGCCCAAGATTAATCGTACAGATATGGCAAGGATGAAACACATGAACAACAAAATAAAGAATAACAAAACTCGCACATTATTGGACTATTGGACCAGCTGAACTGACAGGAATGTTTAAGGTCTCTTTATTTGAGCTCTGCAGCTTTTTCAATTCACGTGTGGCTTTATAATGTTGCTCCCGAGAACTTTAGGAAGCTCCTTCAACATGACTGTAACTTGCTGTGTGAAATCTCCCTGTGTGTTTGCGCTCGTTTTACGATAAGATTTAAGAAGCCAGAGTAGAGTTTAGAGAAAGTATTTACAGAAAACATTTGGGTGACTATTGACTTCCATTGTTTGTTAGCAACATTGGCCTTGCAGCTCCATGGCTGAACTATAGAAGCAAAATTTGGACACCAAACACGTCCTGCCTGATCATCTCCATCTGGAGAAAGTCATGTAAACAGGCTTTTTCACAATAACATTTCTTTAACACAGTCAAACTGGCTAAATCAGTGCATCTTTAGAGCTTCTCCTCAGTTCTCTGAGTGAGAGAGCTGCAGTTTTCTCTGATATGATGAAATTAAAGACTTTTTTAATGGCTAGTTGACCAGTAAAAGTCAACAGCTGCGGTGTGAGAGGTTCCTACCCTTGTCTGAACCCTGAGTGGAGCGGGTGTAGCGAGGCGTCGAGGGGATTTTAATCCGTTCAGTTCGATACTGAGACAAACCTGCGAAGAAAAAACAGCAGCATTCAACCAGACAGCAAAGAGAGAGACCAAGAAAGAGGAAATACATGAATCAGTAGCCTTATAGCCTCTCTCGCTCTTTACGGTCTGCAGTGCTGCAGCAGCATCACTGCAAACTGAAGTATTTTAAATTTTGCTCAATATTGTTTTAACCACTGGTTTGTAGCAATTGAGGCATAACATTCTGACCACCTCCTTGTTTCTACACTCATTGTCCATTTTATCAGCTCCACTTACTATATAGGTGCACTTTGTAGTTCTACAGTTACAGACTGTAGTCCATCTGTTTCTCTGATACTTTGTTAGCCCCCTTTTACCCTGTTCTTCAGTGGTCAGGACCCCCATGGACCCTCACAGAGCAGGTACTATTTGGGTGGGGGGTCATTCTCAGCACTGCAGTAACACTGACGTGGTGGTGTGTTAGTGTGTGTTGTGCTGGTACGAGTAGATCAGACACAGCAGTGCTGCTGGAGTTTTTAAACACTGTGTCCACTCACTGTCCACTCTAATAGACACTCCTAGCTTGTCAGTCCACTTTGTAGATGTAAAGTCAGAGACGATAGCTCATCTGCTGCTGCACAGTTTGTGTTGGTCATCCTCTAGTCCTTCATCAGTGGTCACAGGACGCTGGTCACAGGACGCTGCCCACAGGACGCTGTTGGCTGGATATTTTTGGTTGGTGGACTATTCTCAGTCCAGCAGTGACACTGAGGTGTTTACAAACTCCAGCAGCACTGCTGTGTCTGATCCACTCAGACCAGCACAACACACACTAACACACCACCACCACGTCAGTGTTACTGCAGTGCTGAGAATGATCCACCACCCAAATAGTACCTGCTCTGTGAGGGTCCATGGGGGTCCTGACCACTGAAGAACAGGGTAAAAGGGGGCTAACAGAGTATGCAGAGAAACAGATGGACTACAGTCTGTAACTGTAGAACTACAAAGTGCACCTATATAGTAAGTGGAGCTGATAAAATGGACAATGAGCGTAGAAACAAGGAGGTGGTCATAATGTTATGCCTGATCGGTGTATAAATGGTTTGATTCAGTTAGGATTCTTTAGGAAACAGTTCAGTGCATCACTTCACACCAAAATTACATCAAAACTTGATTCAATTTGATTATTCTGGTACAATTCAGAACAATGTTTTTCCCCAAAACACCACTGGCTATACAGTCATATGCATAAGTCTGAACACCCCCTGGTCAAAGTCCATGTTCTGGTGATCTTCTGAGTGTAAATAAGTAAATACACCCTCTACAGAGACACACTTCTGCACATTCTATACACAATTACTGTTTATTTACTGAATTAAACATATTGAGGAGAAAGAAATAAACTGTGGCCTGAGCAAAAGTTATGGCATATTTTAAATTTTAGGTTTATTTTTTTTCCTAAATGTAAAATCAACATCATGTTTTGTAGATTTTGACTTTGAAAATCAACAAAACATGTAATTTGACCATAAAGTTATGCATATGACCGTATTTGCACCATAATAACACTTCTGTTTTCTTCACGGTACAAAATACAACTTTAAACTAAGTGTCAGAAACACCTACACACCTTGCCGCGCGCTCGAGGGCAGAGAGTGAGTGTTGTGATGAATGCGGGAGCGAGAGGACTGGTCAGAGAGATCGGCCGAACGCTGACGACCCTGATGCTGCGGACTGAGAGAGAGAGAGAGAGAGAGAGAGAGAGAGAGAGAGAGAGAGAGAGAGAGAGAAAGAGGAAGACAGAAAGAGAAAGAGAGAAAGAGAGAGGGCGAGCGAGAGCGATCAATAGATAGACAGACAGACACACAGACAGAAAGACCAATACAGACAGAGACAGACAGACAGACAGAGATAGACAGACAGACAGACAGACAGATAGATAGATAGATAGATAGACAGACACACAGACAGAAAGATCAATACAAACAGAGACAGACAGACAGACAGAGATAGACAGACAGACAGATAAACAGACAGACAGACAGACAGACAGATAGATAGATAGTTACACAGACAGAAAGACCAATACAGACAGATGGACAGACAGATAGACAGACAGACAGAGACAGACGGACAGACAGACAGATAGATAGAGAGATAGACAGATAGGTAGATAGACAGTTACACAGACAGACAGACAGACAGATAGATAGATAAACAGATAGATCACTCATTACACAAACAAAACAAGCCCAACTAGAGCCTGAATTAAGTGAAAAGAAAAGGGTGAAAAACACATTTAAAAATAAAAAACCCTCTTTCGCCCAAAACCCAGTATTTCGTCATGCTCTGGTTGGGTGGACTCGATGTTAATCCACACTCGGGCAATTAGGCAGATGAAATAGTTTTAACATGTTTCTTATAGTTAAAATATTGTTTCTGTTTTGGTTTTAAGAACAGCTTTACTGATCGTACCCCTTTAGTATACGAGTCTATAGTTGAGGAAAATATATAATATATATAAAGATACCACGTCACTAAGCTTTCCTACAAAGCACACGGCATATATGAACTTCCTTTAATTTGTGTTATCACAGAATGTTCTCGAAATACAGGGCGATTCAAAAAGATTCATCCGATTTCAAAGCACCTTATTTTTACAACCGTGAGGCGCCAAGGAACCAATCACAATCCAATTGAAGGAGGGGGTCAGAGTTTCTGACTGTCAGTGGAAGATGGCTCCCTTCAGTCTGAGAGGAGATGAGACCCCTGAGCAGAAAGCGTTCTGCGTTCTCCACTTCAATAAGAGTGAATCCGTCATAACTGTGCAGTGTGGTTTCTGTGGGCAGTGAAGCTCCAACAGCTCAGAGCGTTCGGCGTTGGTTCCACAACACTGGATGTTCTCCGAAATCGCACTGAAAGAGCCGTGAGTGCAGCGACACCCGACATGCTCAATCCAGTATGGGATGAGTTTGACTATGGCGTTGATGTTGTCTGTACAGCTGGAGGAGGTTCATACTGAGACCTTGTACAATTACATAATAAACTTTATGCTCATTTAAACCATTTACAGTTCACTGCATTGATCTGTAACGATTTACAAGTGAAATCAATCATTTTGAAATCGGATGAATCTTTTTGAATCACCCTGTATATTTGTACTTTTATGTCTGTGATCTTTTAGCAGCCACTTTCATCATCTATAAATGTCTGATTCAAACCACACTTCCATGGTTAATCATATTTATCCATTGTAATGACTTATAAAAGGCTGTTCTGATTCATATTAAACTGAGTGCGTCTTTGAACTTCAAACCAGAGTTCAAACAGGTTTAGTGAAGTGAAGGCGGGATCAGAAAAGGGGACAGAAGAGAAAAACTGGTTAATCAACCATCATTTAAGCGTTAAGAACTCCTAACCATGCTGCCCGGTGGATAAATGCAGTGTGTGTGTGTGTGTGTGTACCTGGGGTGTGCAGTGGGGCTGTTGTTGGTCACCCAGTGACTCCAAGCTGTATAAACTGGTTTCCTCATCACGGTGGTGAAAGCAGGGCAGGGGGACAGAGCTCTGTGTGGAGGATCTAAATAAGACATAAAAATAAAACACATCAACCTCTTTTTCTCCTGGGTATATTTCTAAATTTACAGGCCCAAATCGTGAGGCAAATTATTCAGAAACTGCATGAAATAAATGTAAATTTTTATTTTATTTATTTTTTATTTTTTTGTAAAAGTTCCCCTCAAATTAACGACCCAAACATGTGTTTTTTTGATCATACACATATTGCTATATGCTAACAATTTACTGCTGAAAGCCAAAAATCTTAGATGCTCTTTGTATTTTTTTATAAAAGTAATTTATAGCTCAGATTTGTGGAAAAATGGGTCGACTTTCAGTAGAAAAAAAAATTGTGAGTTCAGCTTCTTTTATTATAAGGGTTTAAAACGACATCACCATCTATTTGACTGGAAAGAAGACAGTTACAGCTCTCATATGACCCCCACCTTTAGAATGTAGTTTATGAAATATGAAAATTATGAAGTAAAGAATACGATGAAGTGTGTTTTGGAACCACCGCTGATTCTACAGAGTTTAAAAGCTTAAAGCAACAGCTCGTCAGTTTTTCCCTTTTGATGATCTATTAGTTCAGGGGACTTTAATTAAAATTCAAGGTCCAGTTAGAGAAAATTTCCTCAAGCAAAGGTCCAGAACATCATAATGTCTAACTTGCATCATGACTCAGTGCCATATACTGTTTACTGAAGTAGCCTAGTAGGTATATCAACATCTTAGACAGTCAACAACTGAATGTCAAATCAAATAAAGTACAGTTCAGTCATATTTCAACAATATTTATTATCAGTTTTCTATTTTTAGATCACGTTGTGTGAAATAACTTCCCTCTGACTCACTTTCTTCTCCAACTGTTGTTTCTCGCCTCGTCCCTCCCCTGTGTGTGCGTCACTCACTCGAGTCTCAGTGCTCATCATAATGCACAGATCTGATTGGCTGAGTAGCGTCACGTGTGATATTTACAACACATGCGATTGGTCTGCAAGTCTCCCGGGCCGCTAAACTGGCACTGTAATGACTAGAAATTTAACGCTGATTAAAATAGGACCACCCCAAAATTAAATAATTCTCCATAGTTTATCGGTTACAGGTCCAGGTCCGCATAGGACAGCATCTGGGTCTGGACTTGGACCGCAGTCCGCCTATTAGTGACCTCTGTATTAGACCAGCATGAGCTAAAAATATTCAAAATGATCATCAGGTCTGTCACAACTACTACAAAACTCTTTGAAAAGATTGCAATTATTTGAGCTGACTGCAGGCGTTAGACGTTCGATAATCATATTTCGCCACGACAACCAAAGCGGAAAATGAGGCAAATAAATGTAAATAAATGAAAACAGTAAATGCATTCATTACGACACATCATGGGACAATAAAACAGTTGGTGCTGTAAACATGCTAAGAGTGCATGTTTATCTGTTAGCTACGTGGCTTATAACGTTTTTAGCATGTATGCTATCTAGATGTAGCTTAGCCCAACTCTACACAAGATTGCGTAATTATAGGGTGTAAAGCCCATGTGTCAAATACAAGGCCCGTGGGCCAAGTCAGGCCTGTGGCACAATCCTATTCGGCCCGCAAAATTATTTTAATTTTCTATTAATATTAGCATTTCACCATGAGCTGCACTACAGTTCCCAGCATGCACTGCAATGTAATGTGTGCTCTGGTCTAGTTCAAGCGAACAGCAGTTTTAGAAAACCTACTGTTCATTTCGGAAATCTGAAGAGGTTTAACAGTGATCTGCAGCGGTCTATTGTGGTCTATTGTTTCATAGAAAACAATTTGTTGGAGGTTTTTCAGAGACTCCAAACAGAGTGATATCAGAAAAAAAGAAAAACCGGCAAGTTGGCTGAGCAAGAGACCAAAGAAACCCACAAATGAAAAGAATTTTCTCTGTAAAAAATTACGATAACCACTGTATTTTCTTAGTTTAATGTTGTTTCAGTGTATTTTGGTCGTTTTCTTCATAACAAGCATAAACAATCACTAACAGCATGCTAATGTCTCGGTAGCTAGCTAGCTAACTTTCCCGTTCCACCTTAAATAGTCCAGCAGTTCTGACGCCTGAAGCGCCATAATGTAACTGCTGCACCATTTAAGGTGGAACGGGAAAATTTGAACAAGAAGCTGGTGAATATCTGACTTCAGCTTCATATCACTGAAGAATTAGGGGTGTGTGATAATAAATAATTGCCCCCCTCTTTGAAGATCATATGATGCCCTAAATGTAACTAAAGCCCAGCAGTGAGGAGCTGAACTTTACCCTCCTCTGCTGTCACTGCAGACTGGCAGGGTCGCCTACAGAGCAGCGCTGGTAGCTGTTAATGAAGTGATGCTCTTTTTATTTGAGGGTCCCATTTCAGAGGGAAGATCTCAACCACTACCCTGTAACTCAGTTCCAATGGGCAACACTCAGAAACAAGGGGTAGGGGTAAAAAGAAGAAATGGGACTGGGTCTTAGTTGCCACCCCTGGTGTAATGTATTATTTCAACAGTACATCCAGTGTTAGCTACTAATCACCACTGCTAGGAATCAGTCTGTTAGACCATCACTGGTTTGTACTTAAAGACAAGACAATTAACTGTTAATCACAATTATTTACATCACAATTAATCGTGAGCTGAAAGATCATGACAGCCCTGATTATGCTAACGTTAATACTTGAGTCTCCATGCAACGCTACTATTTTAGAGCCCAACATATCACAATTTTACACTGAATGGAATTTTTTCCCAGCCCTAACATTTGGGGTCTGAAGTTTACTTCTTTAGTTTTGGGTCATTCTTCAGAAACATCCATTTTTGTGTCCCTAGTGTTTACAGATATATTACACTTAAAAAACACGTTAGGATTGCAATTTATTTCGATTTTAAAATAAAACAATGTTATTTTAACAATTAAACCATCTTGAGCTTCAATTTAGCAATATTGTTTTTTTAATCAATAATATAGAATTCCAAGCTCCACAGAAAAGCTCGTCCCCACAGTCATGTGTAAAGGCTGAGGCCGTATTTTGAAAAAAAAAAACATGTTTTACTGCAATTTTAACTATAATAATCTATACATGACTATAGAATATATAAACTAAATGACATGAAGAAGACTTTTATAAAATATATAATGAATGCTGTTGTCTCCAGGAGTCGTGTCACTGGTGTTACTGCATAACAAAAAATCTCTTATTTTGAAATAAAGTCACACTGATGACATCACTTCACTTCCTTTTACCTGTTTTCTGAGGATCTATGAAGAAAAGCTCATGGTGAGTCCACTGTGTCTTTCAGTTATCAGAGATTTTCTCATTTAGCTCATGATTTCATATGAAGCTTTTAGCTGAAGTCACTGGTGTGACCGACTTTATTCTGAGGTAACAGTGAAAAAATAGAACACAAATGGATTAAATTACATATTTTAGTGGATTTTCCACGACTGACAACATGTGGTTTGATGCTCTGTAGCAGTTATTCTGTAAAATGCATTGTTCATTAAAAATGTCTCTGGTGTTCCTTTATTATGTGGAACACCAATGAGGATCAGTAACACCAGTGACTCCTACGGAGAGACAGAATAGTGGACGTTTCTGTAGAATGACCCTTTTGCACTAGAGCTACGAGACTAACGCAACACAAAGCAGCCCAGTGTGAACAGCGCCACCCTGTGTCTGGTTGTACTGACGTGTGGGTGAGGGTGGGTGGTGTCCTGGGGGAAAGAAGCCCATGCTGTGCCTCTGAGAGCGCTGAGGGGAGAAACGCACGACATCCGAAACATCCGGACACGCCTCATCATGACCCTGAAGAAGAGCAGGAGACGGGTTAGAACTCTGAGAACTCTGAGAACATACAAGAACAACACATGAGCACCACATAAATTAAGACACCACCGTGTAGCATACAGAGGTTTGTTTCATGGCATCGAGATCTCTTGTGTTTAGTGAGTAGGGATCTATAGTGTGTAGGGTGTAGTACACAGAGTGTAATATACAGTATGTAGTATGCAGTATGGTACTTTTAGTGGTATAAGGGTCTACAGTGTGTAGAGTGCAGTACACAGAGCGTGATATACAGAGTGTAGTATATAGTATGGTAGTTTTAGTGGTATAGGGATCTACAGTGTGTAGAGTGCAGTATACAGAGCGTAGTATACAGAGTGTAGTATATAGTATGGTAGTTTTAGTGGTATAGGGATCTACAGTGTGTAGAGTGCCGTATACAGAGTGTAGTATACAGTATGTAGTATACAGTATGGTACTTTTAGTGGTACAAGGGTCTACAGTGTGTAGAGTGCCGTATACAGAGCGTAGTATACAGAGTGTAGTATATAGTATGGTACTTTTAGTGGTACAAGGGTCTACAGTGTGTAGAGTGCCGTATACAGAGCGTAGTATACAGTATGTAGTATGCAGTATGGTACTTTTAGTGATACAAGGGTCTACAGTGTGTAGAGTGCAGTATACAGAGCGTAGTATACAGAGTGTAGTATATAGTATGGTACTTTTAATGGTATAGGGATCTACAGTGTGTAGAGTGCAGTATACAGAGTGTAGTATACAGTATGTAGTATATAGTATGGTACTTTTAGTGGTATAGGGATCTACAGCGTGTAGAGTGCAGTATACAGAATGTAGTATACAGTACGTAGTATGCAGTATGGTACTTTTAGTGGTATAGGGATCTACAGTGTGTAGAGTGCAGTATACAGAGTGCAGATACAGTACGTAGTATGCAGTATGGTACCTTTAGTGATATAGGGATCTACAGTGTGTAGAGTGCAGTATACAGAGTGTAGTATACAGAGTGTAGTATATAGTATGGTACTTTTAGTGGTATAGGGGTCTACAGTGTGTAGAGTGCAGTATACAGAGAGTAGTATACAGTATGTAGTATGCAGTATGTTACCTGGAGTGGTATGGGTATCTGTAGAGGTGTGAGTGCACGCCGTTGCGTCGACGCGGAGTTTGATTTTGCTTTCCTAATCTCCAGCTCATCCACCGCGTGCCGCATCACTTCCTCATCACAAGCCCTTCTCGGGGTGGGCGTCCCAGCGTCCCCCGAGTTCTGCCGCTGAAGCAGGTTCCCGTTCCGGTCGAGCCCTTCCACCCCCAGCTCGGACCTCCCTCCGGGCGTGGCAGGTGGCGTGCCGGTCGTGATGGTGGAGTCGGAGGCAGAGCTTCCCTGCTGCTTGTGTTTAAATTTGAAAGAGTCACTGCGTTTTGGTGGCTCTGGAGGGCTCTGCAGCGCCCCCTGTGGCCTGGAGCCAGCGTGAGCTAAAGTGACATACTCTCCCAGCTTGGAAGGCGTTTCCGGCCGCTTGAAAATGTCCGCGTCGAAAATCGACTTACGTTTCTTTGGTGTCTTGAAGATGGAAAGGGGCGGAGCAACCTCTGGTGTTGCCATAGCACTCGCCATCACCTTTGGCCAGGTGCCTCCGCTGTGTTTCTGAGACGCAATTCCCTTTTCCAGCACCGCTTCTACAGTAATTCCGTCACCGGAGGCTATGGGGTGGAAGGTGAGGGGTCGTTTGGAAGGGTCTGGCCGCTGGTAGCAAAGCTCGTGGTATGTCTCTGTGGGGCATGGTGCCCCCCGCTGGCCGCAGTAAATGTCGCTATGGGTCGTGCTGCTGCTGTTGAGAGGCTGGCTCCTGCAGTTGCGTGTGTGCACCTCCAGAGGGGGCACTTTCCCGTTAGAACCGTGTTCACACTCTCGTACGCTCTCACTCAGACTAAGACCACATACACTGTGAGGGAAGACCTGGGAAGGGAAAATAATAAAAATCAACATAACAACATTACTTCAAACTGAAAGCCGAATTTGTTAATAACGATACTGCTTGATTATAATATTTCAGCCTCTGTATGAGGAAAATGCATTTAAATTTACATAGTTTCATCTTTTCCTCTAAATGTACTAAATCAGCAAAGATATGCTGGTAAAAGTAAACAAATTGACAAAAATGCAGACAAAATTCAGGCTTCAACACAGCTCAGTCTACTGATTATAATATAATAATAAAAAATATTTATGTAGCACTTATTTATTTTAGCTACAAAATAAAAACTGGAAAGATAAAAACACTACGCTCTAAATTTTTAGGCATATGCTACCCTCGACAAATATGTTTTAATCAGGATTTAAAAACAGCTATCGAGATTTTCTAGAAAGCTATTCCAGAGTTTAATGCAATGTCATTTTAAAACTTCATAATAAAAGAAGCTGAACTCACAATTTTTCAACCTCCCCACAAATCTGAGCTTTAAACTGGATCTCAGATGGTGTCTTTTCAGAGATCTACACTGTAAAAAATTATTTTTATAAAAAAATACAAAGAGTTTTTTGGCTTTCAGCAGTAAATTGTAAGAATTTAACATTATGTTCATGATCATAAAACACATTCTCTGTTAATTTGAGGGGAGTCAAGTCAAGTCAAATTTATTTCTATAGCACTTTTTACAACTGATGTTGTCACAAAGCAGCTTCACAGAAATCCATTAAAGACAAAGTTTTAACATGAAATGTAAATCCTCCAGGTGAGCGAACCAGGAAACCTTGGGAGGAACCAAGGCTCACAAGGGGGACCCATCCTCCTCTGGTCAAACTACCTACAAAATTATTATATGCTTTTACGAAAAAAAAACACCAACACTTTACTTTTGTTTCATGCAGTTGCTGAATAATCTGCCTTATTCATGTAAATTCAGATGGAAAAACCGAAATACACCCTGGAGAATAACTGGTTAAATTTAAAGGTTTTTAAAGATAGAGGTGTGTTTTCATGCATACAGGATACATTATAACTCATTATAATATAGTTTATAATACATTTTGAGCAGTTTATTTGCTTTTCAACATTTGCACACTGTATAGCAGTGCGTTGTCACAGTCAGAACAAAATTAATTTCTCCAAAATCAAATTTGCATGAAAAAACAAAAACATTATCAACTTTAAATGTAAGTAATGTAATAAGATTTCGCTCTGAATCATTTTAGGCCTTTACTATTTGTCTGTTTGTTATGAAATGTGGACCCAGTGAAAACGACAGCTGGTATTCCCTAATTATATTAATAATATAAAATATAATATATATATATATATATATATATATATATATATATATATATATATATATATATTACTAGTAAGGGGTGGGCGATATAGCAAAAAACATGGTATCACGATACTTAAACTTTATGATACATAAGTATGATATTTAGTTTTTCAAGATAGTTGAAACAGTGTCAACAGCAGAGCAGCAGGTAGGCGATGGGGAGCACTGTGGATAGGGCTGCCCACTGCTCCGGGCTCACTGCCCCTAGTGTGTGTGTTCATTAGTGTGTATGTGGTGTTTCACTGCACAGATGGGTTAAAATGCAAAGGTAAAATTTCCCCGTTGTGGGACTAATAAGGGTCACTTAACTAACTAACTTATCTTGTATCATGAAAATATTTTGAAGCATCGTGATATAATATTGTTGCCACACCCCTACATGAGGTTGTTCAACGTTTTAAAGTACTATCAATACCCCTGATGTAACAGTCGGTCCAACTGCCCACCAGGACTGGTATGTGCACATTACAGTGCTGTTCAGTAGGAGTGAGGAAAGTGCTGACCTTCATGACGGAGAGAGACAAAGACTCTCTACAGTCCCTCAACAGCGCCTCGCACTCGCTCAGAGACTTATTATCCACAGCAATCCCATTAATCTGCATGAGAGAGAGAGAGAGAGAGAGAGAGAGAGAGAGAGAGAGAGAGAGAGAAAACACTGCAGATTAATCCCCCCTCGATTCTCCAAAGAGCCAATATACATGCAAATTTTCCTCACTGCACAGAGTTCAGCTAATTAAAACTACAGGACGTCCAGCACTAAGACTTCACTTCTGACTGCGATTAAAAACCCAATCAGGGGGTAAAACAGACTGCAAACTCTGCAGCTCCTCTTGGAACAGCGCTACCGAACCCTCCACTGCCCAAGAAAGTTGCAAAAGTTTAGGCGCCCCGTCATATTTCATGTATGGTGTAAAAAACGTTTACATATCCTCTACAGTGAACACACTTTAATACACAATTACTGCTTATTTAATGAATTTAACATATTTGAAATGTAGCATAAAATGCGTAAGTCATGACAGATTTAATATATTTTTGCTATAAGCTAAACTGAGTAAATGAATAGCAGTAAAATTTGCTGAAAAATGCCACATTTATCTTAGAAAGTTAGCATTAATACTTCCAACCCAGACAAAGCAGTTCTAGTATTCAGATGCTCCCCAACCTTAAAGGGGAAACTCCATGACTGAAGTCGTTCAAAGTGGTTTCGGTGTGAAACGCTCTGTTCTAGAGAAACTTACAGAGTCAGAATTGTTCACAGTGGTGGTGATAGGAACCAGACGTCCACCTCAAAAAGCTCCCCTTACAGTTTAAATGGTTATTAACAAACTATTTTTAAATGTATTAGGTGCTGTGAGGCAAAATAGTCCCCAAAGAAAACGTATTATTTCAGATTTATCCACTATTTTCCATCATCAACATTCCATATAAACTCAGAAGACTCGTGTAGGTTCACTGGTGGTTCTGGATAGTAAATAAAATGTCTATATTTGTGTTGTAGTCATGGCGACCCCTGGTTCCTATCACCACCACTGTAAAGACATCTGAACCATTTCACACCAAACCACTCTGAATCACTCTGTTTACATCTCACACACTGAGTTATGCAGAATTTTTGAAATTTGAAATTTAGAAAAATTAGTGGAATTCCCCTTTGAAGCTGGCCTAAAACTAGGGTTTAATTTGTTAACTGATGTGTTATTTAAGCATTCTGTAGCTCAGCACTGCATCCCTCAACCTCACTGTTTTAACAGAATTCACAATTTTATATCATTTTCATATTTATCATATTTTTCATCAGCGCTCTCTCATTACAATAATCGATATGTGTCACACAAATACGGCCACTGGGAATCCCTGTGGTGTCAATGAAATCAGGACCGCTAGCCTAGCCACTGAGCTACAGGCTAAAACCAGGGCCGGTGTATGAGGAGCCTGGCCACTTCGTATTTCCCCCGTTATGTCAAAAATATGACTGCGAAACAGCAGAGGGCGCCCGCGAGCCAGCCCTCAATGAATGGGAGTGAATGGAGCTCAACGGCTAAAAATGAAAAGTTAAAATAGTTTCTAATCACTGAACCAGAACTTTAATTGTAGAAAGTAGAAGGACGTATTTTACTAAAAAAACAAAGAAAATTCACCTGTATGTTTCCTTTTTTCTACAGCAAACAGGTTTTGGGCAGCAGGACGCTAACATTACTGCTACCGAGTGCTGATTGGTTGGCGAGCAAAGCAGCTCATTGGCTGTTCACGCTCACTGACGTCATGAACGTACATGAGGCTCCGTTTTAAACTCCTATAACTCGAGTTTAAAAGCTCTTTAAAAATATAACAGCAGTGCTAAAATGTTTTATGCTGTTCTGTGTTCAGGAAATTAATGTATTATTTTACATTAAAAATATTTAAGCATTTATAAACTATGATTTTCGCTCAAATGCTCCATCTTAACCCATTCATTTTGGGCTTGCTCAGGAGCGCCCTCTAGTGTCTGAAAAACTCTGAAGTCATTACAGTGTGGGAATTCTCCTCTCTACAAGTTCTCTGGGCTAAAACCTATAACCAAGCTAGTATTAGTGTAATTCTTAGCTCAGACGTCTAACAAAATCATAAAGAAAGTCTTTAGTAAAGAAAATGGTTCTATATAGAACCATAAACGCTCAAAGAACCCTTCACATGATTAAATATTTCTTTGCATTGTGAAATTGTTCTTCAGGGTTCATGGAGAATGTTTATGGTTCCATATAGAACCTTTCTGAATAGGGTCCTATATACCAAAATGGTTCTTCTACTGTGTACCAGCTTGAAATTGTACCAACCGAAGAACAGAACACCTTTTAGTGCTATATTAGAACGCTTTTCAAAAGGTTGATGATTCTCCATCAATCTGGAGAACAACTTCACACTCAAAGATCCCTTTAATCATGCAAAGGGTTCTTTGAGTGTTGATGGTTCTATATAGAACCCTTGAAAAACCGTCTTTTTTCAGAGTGTGTAATAACCTGACTTGGATCAAGTACTGTTTTCAGTTAGGCCCAGTTTACATTACTTTAGGGTGAAAATAAAGTGAAAGAAATAATCAGAGGATGATGTGTGGACTCACAGCGAGCAGCCTGTCTCCAGGACAGAGAGAGGCGTCTCTCGCTGCGGGGCTGCCGGGGGCGATCGAGGCCACGTACATGCCGCTCTCCAGCACGAGTCCACTGTCTGAGACAAGAGAGGGACATTCAGTACATTCTCTATTGAATAATTCCCTACAGAAAGCAAGAAACTACACAGAACACATGTAAATAAATGAAACAGTAGAAGCCATATCGCCCCCTACACTTCCTGTAGTGTATTACAGTCTGTCAGAGTGACTGTGTGGATCACATGAACATTATAGAGGCTTTTTAAACGAAACAGTAGAAGCCATATCGCCCCCTACACTTCCTGTAGTGTATTGCAGTCTGTCAGAATGACTGTGTGGATCATATGAACATTATAGAGGCTTTTTAAATGAAACAGTAGAAGCCATATCGCCCCCTACACTTCCTGTAGTGTATTACAGTCTGTCGGAATGACTGTGTGGATCATATAAACATTAGAGCCTTTGCAGCCGTACTTCAGTGAAGGAGTGATTTTACTACCTTTACTCCCCGTGAGATTCAGATGGACAGGTGTGATTATTCTTCCTCCGAGAGACCGCCTCCTCCTGACCACCATGTTTATGACTCCGCCCCCATTCAGCACCGCTTTCAGCACCTGCTTCCTGTCCTTATTCACCAAGTCCACATCGTTTATCTTCAACAACCAGTCATTCACTCTGTGATGAGAAAGACAACAGGTCGCTCTGTAGTAGGAGTTCAGGAAGACTTCACATCACATTATTCTGTACGTAAACTCTTATTTTGTTTATTTTAATTTTTAAGACCATTACAGCAGGCCTTTAAGACTACAGCTAAACATTAGCCACTTGGCTGACACTGGCACATTTATCTTGGGGCTACATCTTGTTCTTTTGTCCCTGATTTGTAAGTACAAATAAATACATTTCAAAACCAATAAATAAATGAGGCCTCATCCTACCGTAGCCTTCCATCTGCCACACTTCCTTTGTCCACCTTTGTCACAAATATCCCGCAATCCCCGGGTAAATATGGATCATTCACCCCTTCTGCCACGTCAAATCCCAAAGCCTTCAAATCCATGTCCTCCTGAAGGAAACACAGCTTCATAAATCACATGCTAATCTCTCACAGCCATAGATGAAGTGCAGTCTTGGACTAAACTCTAATGAAAATACTGATCTGCCAGTGAAAATCCTTTTTGGTCCAGCCTTTGGCTTAACCTGGATCTGGGAAACCAGCTCCCTCAGGTCTCCCTCTCCCTCACAGTGGAGTTAGCATTAATGTTAAAACAGAAAAGGGAAGGGAATATTTGATATAATTAAAAAAAAAAAAAACAGCATAACCCAACTATTACTTTCACCGTGCTTAATAGAAGGGAAACATGCCTGTTTTACACTCCCAAGCACAAAACTGCAGCAGTAAAACATTATGCATCAATTTAATTCATCATTTTGTACGTATTCTGCTCTGTGCATTGTCAGCAAGTTGGGAAGAGAAACCTCTGTACCAAAAACTACTACAAAGGGAAACGCAGAACCACCAACCTAAAATCAAATGCCAAACACTACCATTCTCCAACTTTCAGCATCATTCACCACTAAACACCAGCATTCATCAATCAACATCACCATTCACCACAAACCACCAACATTCTCCACCAAATATCAGCTTTCTCCCACCAACATCATCATCATTCCCCTCCAACGACCATCACTCTCCATGAAACACTGGCTTTTTTCCATTCAACTTCACCATCCACCACCAAATAGAAGAGTGTGGTATGTGCTGGGGAGTGGAGGATGACGTTTGGTTGGAGAATGTTGGTGTTAAGTTGGGGAACGATAGTGTTTAATGGAAAACTACAATGTTTGATGGGAAACGTTGAAGTAATGGTGTTTTGGTGAAGAATGATGGTACTTTGTGTAGAATGATGGCGCTTGGTTGGAAAACAATGGTGTCTAACTGGAAAATGATGGTGGTTGGTGGAGAATAGTGGTGCTTAGTTGGAGAACAATGGTGTCTGGCTGGAGAATGGTGGTGCTTAGTTGGAGAACAATGGTGTCTGATTGGAAAATGGTCGTGCTTGGTTGGAGAATAATGATGTCTGGCTGGAGAATGGTGGTCCTTGGTTGGAGGATGTTGGTGCTTGGTTGGAAAATGGTGGTGTCTGGCTGGAGAATGGTGGTGCTTGGTTGGAGAACAATGGTGTCTGGCTGGAGGATGGTGGTGCTTGGTTGGAGAACAATGGTGGTGCTTGGTTGGAGAATGGTGTCTGGCTGGCGAATGGTGGTGCTTGGCTGGAGAACAATTACGTCTGGATGGAGGATCGTGGTGCTTGGTTGGAAAATGGTGGTGTCTGGCTGGAGAATGGTGGTGCATGGTTGGAGAACAATGGTGGTGCTTGGTTGGAGAACAATGGTGGTGCTTGGTTGGAGAATGGTGGAGCTTGGCTGGAGAACAATTACGTCTGGATGGAGGATCATGGTGCTTGGTTGGAAAATGGTGGTGTCTGGCTGGAGAATGGTAGTGCATGGTTGGAGGACAACGGTGTCTGACTAGAGAATGGTGATGCTTGTTTGGGAGAACGGTGGTGCTTGGCTGGAGAATGGTGATGTCTGGTTGGACAATGGTAGGTACAGATGGTATTTGGTTAGGAATGGTGGCATGTGGTGGAGCATGATGGCTCAGTGTGTTCTGGACTTCTGGTCTTCATTGTGTTTGATTTTATAGTAGCCTTTGGTACAGAGGTTTCTCTTCTAACTGTTAATTCCCAGTACATACATTAGACATACAGATCTGTGATGGATCACCAAGCATGACATGTATAAAGTGATATATGAAAGTAATACAGAGTTTTACAGGGTAGGTAACTCCACAGAGTACATCTGGGCTTAACGTGAAAGTTTGGCAAAAAACGTAAGTTGTTAAGTAATCTTAAACAGATCTATTATGTAATTTCTGATACTGTTTGGACAAAAGTCCAGACAAAATTAAGGCAGATGCCACTGTTTTTAGCTATGAGATGTACTTTTGTACATTTTATAGACTGACCTGTCTCGACCTTTGAGTGGAAACTGTGTAAATTGGATCTTTTTGCTTAACTACTGCTTTAAGAACGAAACAGTGCAGAGTTAAACCTACACTCTCCCTCTCAAACTCCACCACCTCCGTCTCCCACTCCAGAGAGTCTGTGTCGATGGCTGAATCGTGGGAGTTGTGAGCCATCAGTTGTTGGTACCGTGCTTCCTTGTCTTGCTCCTCCTCCAAACGCTCTCTGGCCAGAAATGACCAAAACATACATAAGAACAGTTTCAACCTCACAAAAGGCATCAGTTTATTCTTTAAAGTGCAGAATTATTACTCCTTTCTCATTTCCACGTATGCAGACACATTTCACACACCGTTCTTTGGAATGGACCTGAAGAGCATTCACTTTCCATACAATTCCACAGCCACTAGGGGGCACTCCACATCTAATCTAATCACACTCACACCGAGGCCTGTGTCCTTGTTCAGAGATTCAATACTACTGGGATTACAACTAGAGCTGAGCATTGCTAAAAATGATCTCAATACCGATTCCTAAACAACACATTTTACCTTCTTTCAAATGACAATCCGAAAGTGGGTGTGGCTTAAGTCAGAAATGACTTATTTTACAGAATTACTGGTAAAAAAGTAGCAGAAACAACTTTCTTTTCAGCTTATAGGACAAACAAGACTTCTTCCTAAATTAAATGCCAATTTCATCTTCAATTTCATTACCAAATGTGTTAAATGAGCTTAAACATCAAATAACTATCTAAAAGTAAACCAAGATATTTGTATGTAGATAAAATTTTCAACCACATTTCTCTTTAAAGTCGTGGTTTGAGGGCATTTTCCTTAAATTCATAAACATTGTTTTAGACAGCGGATCGACAGTCTAGGTTTTAAGAACAAGCAGGCTTACTGGTTCACTTATGATAAAACTGACTACTTCGTAGAGGTGAGCGATAAAAAAAATATTATACTGTGATACTTTAAGAAATTTTTACGGTACATGACGTCACAATATTGAGACATCTGATCAGTTGAAAGAGAAAAAAAGAGCAAGTAGTGCTACATTCTGAAAAATACTATTAAAAACTCTGAATACAATGATTTTTATTCAATATTTGGCACTAAATCCAGTTAAACCGGACTAATTTAGTTCTCTTTATAGTACAAAATGCAGTTGGTCAGATTTCTACAAGTACTGACAACATCCACAACATGTTCAGAAAAGCAAACTGTGTTGAACTGTGATGTAATTTATCATGATAAAATACTGTCATATCACTCAGCTGTACCACCTGGGTACTGAAAATTCATAAATAATAAGAGAATTTTGGTGACGCTTTATTCTGAGTGTTTCCCTTTTAAATTAAACAAACACAGGTTAGGGTTAGGATTAGGACCAGGGTTAGGGCTAGGATTAGGTTTGTAGTTGAGGTTAAGGTTAGGGTTAGGATTAGGATTGAGGTTAAGGTTAGGATTAGGGCCAGGGTGTCGGTTAGGTTTTGGGTTGAGGTTAAGGTTAGGGTTAGGATTAAGGCCAGGGTGAGGATTAGGATTTGGGTTGAGGTTAAGGTTAGTATTAGGGCCAGGTGAGGGTTAGGATTAGGTTTTGGGTTGAGGTTGAGGTTAAGGTTAGGGTTAAGATTAGGGCCAGGGAAAGGATTAGGTTTTGGGTTTAGGTTAAGGTTAGGATTAGGGCCAGTGTGAGGGCTAAGATTAGGTTTTGAGTTGAGGTTAAGGTTAGGATTAGGGCCAGGGAAAGGATTAGGTTTTGGGTTTAGGTTAAGGTTAGGATTAGGGCTAGGGTGAGGGTTAGGATTAGGTTTTGGGTTGAGGTTGAGGTTAACGTTAGGATTAGGATTAGGGTCAGGGTTAGGATTAGGTTTTGGGTTTAGGTTAAGGTTAGGATTAGGATTAGGGTCAGGGTTAGGATTAGGTTTTGGGTTGAGGTTAAGGTTAGGGTTAGGATTAGGGCCAGGGTGAGGGTTAGGTTTTGCGTAATAGATGTGACATATTTACCTACATTAATTACATGTATTGTTATGTATCACCAGAACATCTACAAGATATTTACTGCAGTGTATTCAGATGCTTCACTGCTGCTACTTCACTGATATGCTGTTGATGTGTTACTGATACTCTGTTAAGAGTTTATTAATCATCTACAAAGGACCTCTACAAATAAAGTGTTACCAAAGTTTTCAGTACTTGTTAGTATTGAAGTCATTTGGTCGGCTGAATCTCAATACTCAGCTCAAACTACAACCACTCAGAACATCAGTACTAATACTGACATTAATATGGACTTTATATTGTATTGATCATACATTTCAGTTGCACCTTAATTTCTGAGAAATGAAGCATTAAAAAAGAAAAATGAAAACAGAGAAACAGATAAATAAGAGAGGCAAAGAAGGACTAAGAGAGGAAAAGGATGTTGCGGTGTTGAAACAGACGAACTCACTTCAGCTCCTTCAGCTCTCTCGACAATTCGTTCTTTCGTTTCCGCATGTCGTCAAGGTTACGCAGAGCGTCCGCTAAATCGCTGACCGCACGGTCTCTCTCTCTCCTCAGATTATCACACAAAGTCCTGATACACACACACACAAAGACAATGCTGTGTATTAATATTTTTAATAATATAATTAATACACTTTATAACACTGACTTCCCTCACACTGTAAAGGGCACACTCAAAGATGGTTCTTCTAAAGGTTCTTTAGTATAGTATATAGAACTATGAACACTCAAAGAACCCTTTGCATGATTAAATGGTTCTTCGCATGGTGAAATCGTTCTTTACTTTGATGTAGAATGTGCTGTAGATGGTTCTATAGAGAACCTTTTTGAAAGGGGTTTTATATAGCACCATAAGGGTTCTTTTACTGTAACAAGCCTGACATCATTACAATAGAAGAACCCTTTGTGGTGCTATGTAGAGCGCTTTTCAAAAAGGTTCTAAATAGAACCATCCACAGCCCATTTGACATCAATCTGAAGAACGCTTTAATCATGCTGAGGGTTCTTTGAGTGTTAATGGTTCTATATAGAACGATTTTCCTTACTAAAGAACCCATCTTTTTTAAATATGTGGGGATGGGAATTAATGCAGGCCCTATGATACAAACTTAAAAAGATGGTTCTTCATGGGTTCTTTAGTAGAGGGAATGGTTGTATTTAGAACCCTGAGTTCAAAAAGGGTTCTGCTAAAGTTACAATGTCAAGCTTGTAAGAACAGGAGAATCCTTTTTGGTGCTATTTTAGAACCTTTTTCAGAAGGGGTAAGGGATAAACCACGTTAATCTGACATTTGTAAACGAGCTCTGCTCTGATTGGCTGCCCTGTATTTTGCCCTCATTTAAAAAGCACTCGGAGCTGAAGCACATCAGTAGGAGTGGGTGGGGCTAATGTTTGTAAATATGTAAATATAATATTTTAAAACTTTTTTATTAAAAAAAAATAATTCCAACATATGGCCCTTTAAATAATCCCGGGTGTGAGGTACAGGGTCGAGCCGTTTGAGCGGAGGAGCCGTACCGAATACTCTCTCTCTCGGCTACGATCTTGTCTCTCTCTTTAAAGGCCCAGTCTCTGCGACACTTCGCCACCTCGGCCTCCTGAACCGCCTCCTTCAGCTCCTGAGATACGGCCTCACACTGCTTCCTCAGAATCTCGATCTCCTTAGATACTCGCTCCATATCCACCGTCGCACTGTCCTGCTTCTACACAGAGAGAGAGAGAGAGAGAGAGAGAGACAGAAAGAGAGACAGAAAGAGAGACAGAGACAGAGAGAGAGAGAGAGAGAGAGAGAGAGAGAGAGAGACAGAGAGAGAGAGAGAGAGAGAGACACTTAAGCACAATACAAATAATAACAATAAAATAATATGGCATGAATAACAATAATATAATACAAAATGTATTATATTACGTACAAAACGTAACGATACAAAATATGTGTAATTATGTTTATACATATAGAACATATATGCCCATGTGTATATACACGTGTCCATGTATACATACATGCGTAAACATATATCTCGCTGATGTTGGAAGAAAACCTTGTATCTCCATTTTTGGAGTTTTTGACATAATATCTGTTGGCCTTTACATTGTATGTAAATTTCATGAAGAATGGACCAAAAGAAACGACCTAAAATGACTGACTTGGAATACATATATATTATATATATATATATAGTTAGATAGATAGAGATATAGTTTCCTTTGGCTGGAAAAACAATCACACTTTTAAAGTAGTAATGGACACTTTAGCTTACAGTAAACTTTGGGCACCAAACAAACTGTGTAAAACTGAACTGCTGCTCTAAATCTGCAGTGCAGTCACCAAAATAAAGCTGTGGAAGTTCTCAGCTGTAACATCTCAGTGCAGTGAGACAGTGCAGTGAGACAGTGCAGTGTGTACCTGTCTGGCCTGGTAATATTCACACAGTAGCTGGTCTCTCTGTATGATGGCCTCTGTCCTCTCCTTTCGGGCGACGTCTCTCTCCTCTCTCGCCGTCTCGATGTCTTTACACGCCTGAGACAGCTCCTTCTGTGTCTCCGCTTTGTCCTGAACCTCGTGACTGTATCTCTCCAGCAGGTCTGCACGCTCACATATCGCACGGTCCCGGTCCAACAGAGCCAACGCCAACTCCTGTACACACATACAGACGAATATAAACAAGACCTTGACATTCTACACCTGACATAGAGAATATACACTGAGATGGACCAAAAGGAGAAGGTCGATAAGAGCATGAGGAAGAACCACAGAGGAATCAAGGCTCAAAAAGAGAACCTCCCGATGACTTTGAGGAGGAACCACTGAGAGGAACCAAGACTCAAAAGAGGAAGGTTCATAAGAGCAAGAAGAACCACTGAGAGGAACCAAGACTCAAAAGAGGAAGGTTCATAAGAGCAAGAAGAACAACTGGGAGGAACCAAGACTCAAAAAGAGAAACTTGCTATGACTATGAGGAGGAACCACTGAGAGGAACCAAGACTCTAAAGAAGAACCTCCCTAATAGATGAAGAAAAACCACAGACAAGAAATAAGACTCAAAAGGAGAAGCTCCTTAGTTACAAGAAGGAGAACCACTGAAGAACCAAGACTTAAAATAAGAAACCCCCTAAGATTGTGAGGAACAACCACAGGTGAGAAAGAAGACTCAAAAGAAGAAGCTCCTTAAGAGCAATAAGAAAAAACCACTGAGGAACCAAGATTCAAAAGAAGAACCTCCCCAAGAGCATGAGGAAGAACCACAGACAAGAAAGAAGACCCAAAAGTAGAAGCCCCTTAAGAGAAAGAAGAAGAACCTCTGAGGAACCAAGACATAAAAGGAGAAACTCCCTAAAAACATGAGGAAGAACCACTTAGAGGAACCAAGACTCAAAAGCAGAACCTCTTTAAGAGCATGAGGAAGAACCACAGACAAGAAATAACACTCAAAAGAGAGGCTCCTTAAGAGCAAGAGGGAGAACAACTGAGGAACCAAGATTCAAAACAAGAACCTCCCCAAAAGCATGAGACAGAACCATGGAGAAGGCATAAGACTCAAAAGGAGAAGCTGCTTAGTTGCAGGAAGGAGAACCACTGAGGAACCAAGACTCAAAAGAAGAAACTCCCTAAGAGCATGAGGAAGAACCACTGAGGAACCAAGATTCAAAAGAAGAATCTCCGTAAGAACATGAAGAAGAACTACTGAGAGGAACCAAGAGTCAAGAGGAGAACCTCCCTAAGAGCATGAGGAGGAACCACTGAGGAACCAAGACTTAAAAAGAGAAGCTTATTAAGTGCAAGAAGAGGAGGAACCAAGACTCGAAAGGAGAACCTCCCTAAGAGTGAGTGTTTGTCCACTGTTTGCCCCACCTGTCTGAGTGCCTCCAGCTCCTCAGTAGCCACCCTCCTCTCGCTGGATGTGTTCTTCAGCTTGGCCTCGGCCGCCTCCAGCCCCGTCTGCAGCCTCTCCACCTCCTTAATCACCTGATCTCTCTCACTCATGATCAGCCGGTACTCGTTTAACACAGAATCCCTCTCTTCTCTGAGCCGTTCAGCGTCCTGCACCGCTCTCAGCTGGACGCTCTTATAGCGGGTCACCTCCGCCTGCAGACGCTCCACTTCTCTCTGCAGGTCACTGTTCTCCACGCTCAGCTTACTGAAGTCCTGCTGAACCGTCTCTAACCTGAGAGAGAGAGAGAGAGAGAGAGAGAGAGAGAGAAAACAAGAAAACAAACATGCATCACTGTTGCCGGTAGGAACATCTCTGAGCTTTACTGAGTGTTTTTATTTCTGAGTAAACAATGCAGAGGATTTCTCCCATAATCAACTGGTCAAGCTATGATTAATGCAGTATAGTGTAATATACTATAATATACTATATAAGTACATTAGAGTGTAATATGGTCAAATCCCAAGCTATAATATACTGTACTAGTGCAGTTTCTATGCTCATTGTCCATTTTATCAGCTCCACTTACTATATAGGTGCACTTTGCAGTTCTACAGTTACAGACTGTAGTCCATCTGTTTCTCTGATACTTTGTTAGCCCCCTTTTACCCTGTTCTTCAGTGGTCAGGACCCCCATGGACCCTCACAGAGCAGGTACTGTTTGGGTGGTGGATCATTCTCAGCACTGCAGTAACACTGACGTGTTGGTGGTGGATCAGATACTGTGTCCACTCACTGTCCACTGTATTAGACACTCCTAGTCAGAGACGATAGCTCATCTGCAGCTGCACAGTTTGTGTTGGTCATCCTCCGGTCCTTCATCAGTGGTCACAGGACGCTGCCCACAGGACGCTGTTGGCTGGATAGTTTTGGTTGGTGGACTATTCTCAGTCCAGCAGTGACACTGAGGTGTTTAAAAACTCCAGCAGCACTGCTGTGTCTGATCCACTCAGACCAGTGCAACACACACTAACACACCACCACCACGTCAGTGTTACTGCAGTGCTGAGAATGATCCACCACCCAAATCGTACCTGCTCTGTTGGGGTCCTGTGGGGGTCCTGACCACTGAAGAACAGGGTAACAACGTATGCAGAGAAACAGATGGACTACAGTCTGTAACTGTACAACTACAGAGTGAAACTATATGGTCAGTGTAGCTGATAGAATGGACAATGAGTGCAGATACAAGGAGGTGTTCTCAATAAAGTGGTCAGGTGGCGTATGCTATATTAGAGTAGTATAGTGCAATAGTGTAATATGCTATATTATAAAGTAAAAATGTACAGTGAGATATGCTATAATAGTGTAATACAGTGTAGTAGTGTGATATGCTACATTAGTGTAGTATAGTGAAACAGTGTGATGTTATATTAGTGTAGTAGTGAATTATGATGCATTAGTGCACTGTAGTGATATGCTATGATAGCACCTCCTGGTGGAGTATTGCTGCTGCGGGTGCGTGTTGATTTCTCTCTGTTTGAGAAGCGTATCCAGCTGTTTCTGCAGTCTCCGGTTCTCTGCCTCCAGCTGCTCCAGTCGGCCGGCGTCTGCGCTCTGGCAGGCTGTTTTCTCGGTGTATCGTTTCTGTAGAGCGTCGTACTCTTTCCTCAGAGCCTCCAGCTTCTCCATCGCAGCGTCGTAGAGCTTATTGACCACATCTGAGGAGCTGCTCTCTCTCAGCACCTACAACACCAATCAGACCACACATAGACACTTAAAGCGATAGTTTGAGGAAAAATTAAATATAAATTTTCTCCTTACAACAAAATGGGAACCACATAGCTAACAATATTTCATAATAATGTGGATCTAATATTGATTTAAAGCAATTTCAGCAAATACTCTTTTTAAAAGCTTACGTCCCACCAGTTAGCATGCATGTGTGCAAAAACTTAAGACACAAACTTCAAATACCAAACAAGGGTGTTCGAGATCAAAAGAAAATACATGAAATGAATAATAGATACAAGGAAACTGTATTTGCAATGCACTGATGAAATGTTTTTAATTTTTTTTTAATTTCTGCATAATTAAATGATTAAGATGTAAACAGAGCGGTTCAGAGTGGTTTGGTGTGAAACGCTCTGCTCTAGAGAAACAGAATCAGAACTGTTCACAGTGGTGGTGATAGGAACCAGACGTCCACCTCTAAAAGCTCCCTCACAGAAAGTTCCTACATGAAATGGTTATGAATTCACTGCCTGATGACTGAGACACTGTTTTATGGTAGTTCTTAGAGTCCTTCTTCAGAGTCCTGCTGACTACGTAGGGGTTTTCGTTTGGGGCAGTCGTGGGCTGGAGGTTAGGGAAGGTTGCCGGTTTGATCCCCTCGGCTGACAGTCAATGACTGAAGTGCCCTTGAGCAAGGCACCTAACCCCCAACTGCCCCCCGGGTGCCGTGGATAGGGCTGCCCACTGCTCCGGGCAAGTGTGCTCACTGCCCCCTAGTGTGTGTGTTCACTAGTGTGCATGTATGGGTTAAATGCAGAGGTCTAATTCCACTGTGCGCAAACACAGTTGGCTGATGGTTCTGAAATTCAATAATTCAAGTTAAATCTTTTCATGGTGGAGGGATACATGCAGGGTGTTGTGAGACAAAATAGTCCCCAAAGAAAACTCATTATTTCAGATTTATCACTATTTCACCATCAACATTCCATATAAACTCAGAAGACTCGTGTAGGTTCACTGGTGGTTCTGGATAGTAAATAAAATGGCTATATTTGTGTTGTAGTCATGGCGACCCCTGGTTCCTATCACCACCACTGTAAAGACATCTGAACCATTTCACACCAAACCACTCTGAGTCACTCTGTTTACATCTCACACACTGAATTATAGACAAATTGACAAATTGGTGGAATTCCCCTTTAAAATACATTGTTTGAGCAATAGAGCTGATGTATAGAGATGCTGCACTGACAGCATTGTGCCAGTAGAGGGCATGTTTGAGCTCCCATTCACATAGTCTTAAAAGTTAAATGAGTCAGTTTGTCCTGTGTTGTTGTCCAGTGTATAAACATCAGCTGATAGAGATCGAGATGAAACCACACTGCAGGCCTTCAGGCGGACCAAAACAGACAGATAGCCGGATAGACAGATAAATAGATGGCTAAATAGACATACAGATAGATATACAGATTGATATATAGACAGATAGACAGCCAGCCTACTGATGTCACTCACATTATACAGCATTACTAAAATCTTCGACTCACTACTCCTACTTGAGGGATTTATTTCATATAGAAAACACCACTAAACAGCTTCAGAGATCTGTCATTTCCAGAAAAACCAATAACCTTGGTCTGAATCACCAAACATCTCAAAAACACACACACACACACACACACACACACACACACACACACACACACACAGAAACGCCATGTTCTGTATGAGATGCGATGTGGTCACCCCTTCCCCTAAACTCATGAGTCACTGTGATCACTAACAGCAGTGATTCACGCACAGCCTGCTTTCTCCAGAGAACAGCTCTCTCTTCTGGGTCGCACAGCCAGAGAGGATGACGCAGCTTCACTGCTTTGAACAGCAAATGATAACAGAACATTAACTGACCTTCTGACCTTTCATTAGCTGGGTATATCTGTCATACTTACAGTTTGATTATATGAGAAAAACATTTACTTAAAGTGAGAGAGAGAGAGAGAGAGAGAGAGAGAGAGAGAGAGAGAGAGAGAGAGACTTACAAACGAGTTTGTACAGAGTGAGCGTCTATTTCAAACACCCACCTTGTGGTTCCACTCACTGGCCACTTTATTAGAAACAACTACTTCGTGCTTCCACTCACTGACCACTTCATTAGAAACACTTACCTTGTTTTTCCACTCACTGGCCACTTTATTAGAAACACCTAGCTTATACATTCACTCAGTGGCCACTTTATTAGAAACAACCAACCTTGTACTTTCACTAACTGCCCACTTTATTAGAAACACCCACCTCGTGCTTCCACTCACTGGCCACTTTATTAGAAACACCTACCTTACATCACCACTATGTAGGTGTTCAGTTACAGACTGTAGTCCATCTGTTGCTGTACAGTTTACAGGCCCCTCTACTCCATTCATCACTGGTCAGTTTCTGATCACAAGGCCACTGTTGTCCAGATATTATGTGGGTGGTGGTCCTTTCTCAGCACAGCAGTGACACTGACATGGTAGCGTGTGTGAAGCTGGTACGAGCGTATCAGCGGTGGTGCTGGATTGTTTACACACATCAGTGTCACTGCTAGGTTGAGAGTGGACTGTCCACCCAAAAATATCCAGACAAGTGCAGCGCTGTGGTCAGAAACCGACCATTAACGGAGCACTTTTTTACAATGAGCACAAAGCAGCTCGACAGAAAATGGGTCAGAGCCTCAAATGAGCGTCACCAAAGCAAGGAAAACTCCCTCAGAGCAAGAAACCTCAGGTGGAACCAAGACTCTGAAGGGGAACTTAACCTCCTCTGGTCAACATCAGACAGCAAAACAATAAATACAATAAGAGCCAAATAAATAAAGGATAAACGCTTACAATTGATATACAATATTGAACATAGAAGAAAAGAAAATAAACCAGCTGGTCATTATACAGACACACTAAGATTAACCAGTGATAACAGATGACTACTTCTGGAGGCCTATCAGAGTAACAGCAAACACAGATCTGCAGTGTTACAGTGTTACTGTTACAGTCACTGACTACTGACAGCAAAGACCTTTACAGACAGAGCACGATTTATTTATGCGATTTATTCACTCATTAGTAATACAAGCATGTATATAACTGATATCTTACACACCAAACATGAATTTCAGGATGGCAAAAATGGAATATTATTTTATTATTCACCCTTTTCAATTTTTGCAAACTTGATATGAACTCTGACCATTCACGGTCATCTCCAGCATTGCATGCCAACAACTACGATGACAAACTATCTGTGTACCAGCAACTGAGAACGCTTTCTCAAACATGAAAAACCTCAGAATTTATTTATTTTTTTTAACACATACTGTGTACACTCCCTGGCCACTTTATCAGAAACTCCTCTGTTGTAGCACATGAGCTCCACTCTAACTGAACCTACATACATTATCATATTTCTGCAGTTATTTGATTAAGTGGTTGTGTAAACAGCACACTCCGATTTCTTAGATCAGATAGCCTAGAAATCTGATTAAGGAATCTGATAAAGAGGCTGGATTTGAGCTCAGTAATGGAGTTTTCCAGTGCTTGTAAACTCTCACTCTGATTTCTTTTGTTTCTCTCTGTCTGTGCATGTGTGAAAACAGAGCGCCGTCCCGGAAACAGCGAGCAGCAGTTATCAGATTATTAAGCGTAAACACACAGAACCAGTTACTGACACGATCTGATTTTCTGCAGTTATCAGATTATTAAGTGTAAACACGCTGAACCAGCTACTGATGAAATCTGATTTCAGATTAGACACTGTAAGGGCAAAAAACACTCTCTAGCTCAAAAAAACTGCCTGTTTTTAACTCATTATTTCAGTGATGTCACAAGAACCAACTCATATACATACATCCACCAGCCAATCAGAACACAGCTCATTTCCATACATTCTCAAAGGCACAGTAACAAAACAGCCCATTTAATTTTTATGAATAAAGAGAGGTTAAAAAAAGGACATGTAGAAATGAAATATGACTTAAAGCAACACTACACAGGATTTGGGGATTTGGAGACCTCTGTGGTGGAAATATGTAATTGCACGTAACATGCAGAAAAACACAGTTATCAGATTATTAAGTGTAAACACGCTGAACCAGCTACTGATGAAATCTGATTTCACATTAGACACTGTAAGGGCAAAAAACACTCTCTAGCTCATACGTGGAGCAGTATTGGAGCGAAGAGGACACTGACGCTCTCACTTTCTGAAAAGCCTTTTCACTCCACTCTGCACTTCTCACATCATCTGAACTGCAGCAAGGTGCAGCTACAGCAGAGGGGTTTCTGATAAAGTGGCCAGGGAGTGTACGCAGTGTGCAACAGCCCAGCATGATGAGGTGCGAGTAGGTGTGTGTGTGTGTTCCTAAGTTTTACCTGTTGCTGCAGCCTCATGTCGGCCACCTCCCTCTGATCGTCGTCATGGATACGGCGCAGGTGGTCACAGGTGTGCAGGAGCTGTGTGTACTCCTGCCGAACCGCATCAAGTTCCGCCCTCAAACCAGCCTGTTCATCCAATACACGGCCATGCAGAGTACTGAGAGAGAACAGAGAAATCCAGATTTCATCACACAATTTAAAGCTCAGCTAATCAAAAGTTATGCATTATTGATTTCAGATCACAATATTAACGGAGTGCAGGAGCAGCTGTTTACAGGGCCTACATCAAGGAAAACTCCATGAGTCTGAAGTAGTATATAAACACTGTCCACTCAGTCCATATATGGTATCTAGGCTGCAAAAAACTGCCTGTTTTTAACTCATTATTTCAGTGATGTCACAAGAACCAACTCACATACATACATCCACCAATTCAGCCTCCAGCAGTAGTTCTAAGCAACACTTCAGATCTGAGTGCTTTTTGATCAAGGCATAATTCAGGGCAGCCAATCAGAACACAGCTCATTTCCATACATTCTCAAAGGCACAGTAACAAAACAGCTCATTTAATTTTTATGAATAAAGAGAGGCTGAAAAATGGACATGTAGAAATGAAATATGACTTAAAGCAACACTACCCAGGATTTGGGGATTTGGAGACCTCTGTGGTGGAAATAGGTAATTGCACGTAACGTGCGGAAAAACCTTTTGTAGCATCAGTTGTGCTTCAAACCCCCACAAAGCAGATGAATCGGACTTTTTGGAGAGCGTTAAAGGAGAATTTCGAGTCTTCCGAGGATGAGAGTGAACGGTCATCTAATCTTCACCAGTATAAAGTTCACTTTGCATCTGAGACCTAAATGTCCAGTTGGACCTTCTTTTTGAGCCTGTGCTTGTGACATTAATACGTAAAGGCGTTTAACGTGGTCCAAAAAACTTCCTCAAAATCCATCCCGGTATCTCTGACTTTTATTTCAGGCTTTTCAAGGCGACTCAGAGCGGCGCACGCTCACCATATTTAGCATGTTAATTTTTTCTCTATTCTCAGAAACGCTACTTCTTTTGGTTTTCACAAAAAATGTTACATAGTGCTGCTTTAGTGTTGTAAGTGGGGGAAAAAAGCTAAAATACTAGAATATTTAGGCTTAATTATTTGGGTGTGTGCAAAAAATACAGAATGCTGCTTGTTGGTTATGTAACTGTGCTGTAATACGTCAAGAACCACAATGGAAATAAGCCTTGGAATTTATTCTGCTATCCTTAACAAGCTTAGTGGGTCTGTCAAGACACGTTTGGTGTCTGAAGTTTGCTTCTATAGCTTTAGCACTAGAGACACAAGGCTAACGTAGATAACAAGTAATGTAAGCTTATATAACACCAATTAGCATGGTGCTAACTGCATGTACAAATCATCAAACACTCACACAGTGTTGAGTTGTTATGTAACCTCTTATAGACGTACAGTCACTGATCTACTCACTGGTAGAAATCTGCCTCCTTCATGGCCTCCTCACACTTCTTCAGCGTCTGTGTGTGTTGGTTCTGTAGAGACTGCAGATCCGCCATGGCCTTCATGCACTGCAGCTTCAGACGCTCGTAATCGTGAGCTGATTTCACACTCGGCCTGCTCACACACACACACACGCACAAAACTGTATGAGTTTAACTGACATATACACCAATCAGGCATAACATTATGACCTTGTTTCTACACTCATTGTCCATTTTATCAGCTCCACTTACTATATAGGTGCACTTTGTAGTTCTACAGTTACAGACTGTAGTCCATCTGTTTCTCTGATACTTTGTTGGCCCCATTTTACCCTGTTCTTCAGTGGTCAGGACCCCCATGGACCCTCACAGAGCAGGTACTATTTGGGTGGTGGATCATTCTCTGCACTGCAGTAACACTGACGTGGTGGTGGTGTGTTAGTGTGTGTTGTGCTGGTCTGAGTGGATCAGACACAGCAGTGCTGCTGGAGTTTTTAAACACCTCAGAGTCACTGCTGGACTGAGAATAGTCCACCAACCAAAAATATCCAGCCAACAGCGTCCTGTGGGCAGCGTCCTGTGACCACTGATGAAGGACTAGAGGATGACCACCACAAACTGTGCAGCAGCAGATGAGCTATCGTCTCTGACTTTACATCTACAAGGTGGACTGACAAGGTAGGAGTGTCTAACAGAGTGGACAGTGAGTGGACACAGTGTTTAAAATCTCCAGCAGCAAAGAATGAGAATGATCCACCACCCAAATAGTACCTGCTCTGTGAGGGTCCATGGGGGTCCTGACCACTGAAGAACAGGGTAAAAGGGGGCTAACAAAGTATCAGAGAAACAGATGGACTACAGTCTGTAAGTGTAGAACTACAAAGTGCACCTATGTTCCCTCAGGTCCTCCCCCTACTTCTGACAGTCAGATGTTCCTACTTCCATAGACCCCAGCCCTCTTATTTCAGGTGGCTTTGACAGGCCCTACCCCCCCTCCACAGGCCACACCCTAAGTATTATAAAGCCCCCTCCCCACAGACTTTAAGGCCAGTTCCCTCCAAAATGTCTAGGTTCCACTCTTTCACATACAGACCACTCCACCTGTATTATCAAGCCCCTCCCCTTGCTGTTCTGCTTGGTTACCTGCAGTCGTCGAAGGTGGTTCCGGGTGATGAAAGGGCGAGCCGCTTGCGCAGTTCATCTCTCTCGCGGGTCACCTGCCTCAACTGCAGGACCACAGAGTCCAGCTTCTCACTCACCATGCGCTTCTCCACATGAGCAGGAGGAGGAGATGATGCTGCAACCAGAAACACACAACATCTCACTGAGGTTGTAAACTCCACCAAACACCAACATTCTCCATCCAAACACCAACATCCTCCAAAACAACTCCACCAAACACCAACTTCCTTCTACCAAACAAACATCTTCGATGCAAATTCCAACACTCTCCACCCAAAAATCAACATTTTCCACCCAAAAACCAACTTCCTTCTACCAAACACAACCATTCTCCACCCAAACACCAACACTCTCCACCCAAACACCATTTCTCCAACCACACACCAACACTCTCCACCCAAACACCAGCTCTCCAACCACACACCAGCTCTCCAACCACACACCAACACTCTCCACCCACACACCAACACTCTCCACCCAAACACCAGCTCTCCAACCACACACCAACACTCTCCAACAAACTCCACCCAAACACCAACTTACTTCTACCACACACCAACATTCTCCAACCAAACACCAATGTTCACAACCCAAACATATTCTCCTTCCAAACACAAACATAATCTTACCAAACTCCATGATTCCCCAAATAAAACCAACAGTCTCGAAGCAAACACCATAATTCTCCAACCAAATGCCACAAGGTAGAGAAAAACACACATTCTCCCACCAAACACCAACATTCTCCAGTAAACACTAACACTTCCCACCAAACACCAACATTCTCCAGTAAACACTAACACTTCCCACCAAACACCAACATTCTCTAACCAAATGGCAACATTCTCCTAAAAAGGACCAACTTTCTCCAGGAAATGCAGACATTCTCTAGCAAACTAATGTTAAGCAAACAATGGAGAACGAACATCCTCCATCAAACACCATATCAAACACCATCACTCTAATGTTGTCAGAGCTGCATTATTTTTACACTTGATTATAATTATGCTTTACTGATTACTAGACTAATTGATACATCATACTTTCTGCAGTTTCCTCTTATTCTGTTACAAACACGTTATGCCTGTCTTTTTGTGGCACAATGAAACAATCGAAGTAGAAAATACACTCAATCGAAAAATACACTCTTTGTAGCGTACTGCAATCTGTATAGAGCACTTTCGTTTTTAAGTAAACAACATGTCAACTGCAGTTTTTGATGACCTACAAGTTTGTTAAAACTGCTTGACACTTGGCTGTAGAGTTTTAGTAGAAGAACCAAGAAGCCAGATAAATCAGTGCCAAACACCAGAGACCGTATCTGTTCACTTTACCCGTCTGTGTACCGGAGCGTCCTTTTCATTCGGATTCTCAGGACAGGTTATCGATCTGCTCCATCTAACGTTACCTTATTTATTTTTGGCTTTACTGGCAGAGGCTGCGGTCATGATGCAGGGAAAACGCACTAATAATTCACTTTCTCCATGCTGCAGGTATACGTGAGGGCATGTGGGTTCAGAATCTCATCCTTTCTCGCTGAGAGTGACTTTCTGTGTTTTAGTGTCTTTTATGGGCGCTATGAATAAACAATGGCTTTATCTGGGTCAGTGACCACTCGCCCCACTTTAGAGTGGACAAAACCACACTTTTTCCTTTTAGAGACTAATGGAGATGACAGTGCAGGGCGTCTGAAAGAGCACTCACATTTCTCCAGCTAGCATCTCCATCTGTGTTCGTCTGTCTCTGGCTAGATTTCAGCAAGTTGAGCTCCTTCAGCACATCAGCACTGTGATCACATGCCGTAACGATGTGCAAACAAGGCTGGGAGCTGCAATGATCAGTGAATAAAGTTGAAGCTGATTCTGAAAACATGCCGACGTGGATTTTTTAATGTTGACATGTTTATTAAAAACAACAGATAATACTTTATTAATCCCAGGTGGGACGTTTGAGTGTTAAAGCAACATAACATACACCAGAGACAGTGTAAGCAGATTAATAATAAGAGTACAGAGTATGGAGCACACAGACGGCACAAACACCTACATTACCTTTCTAATGTTCGCAGGAGTCCTTAGAACTTACAAGTAAAATGAACTAGAGTGGGCAAGAGAACACTAGTCTTACAACAATCAAACAGTATGGCAAACCAAACATTTGTGCCTGTTTGTGTTTGTCCTGTCAGGGAACTCTGGCCTTAGGAGTACAGACGTTATAACTACAGAGCAACTATACCCACCAAATACCACTTTTCTCCATAAAACACCAACATTCTCCTACCAAACACCAACATTCTGCTAGCAAGCACCAGCATTCTGCTACCAAGCACCACCATTCTGCTACCAAGCACCACCATTCTCCTACCAAACACCAGCATTCTGCTACCAAGCACCACCATTCTCCTACCAAGCACCAGCATTCTGCTACCAAGCGCCACCATTCTGCTACCAAGCACCAGCATTCTGCTACCAAGCACCAGCATTCTGCTACCAAGCACCAGCATTCTCCTACCAAGCACCACCATTCTGCTACCAAGCACCACCATTCTGCTACCAAGCACCACCATTCTGCTACCAAGCACCACCATTCTCCTACCAAACACCAGCATTCTGCTACCAAGCGCCAGCATTCTGCTACCAAACACCAACATTCTCCTACCAAGCACCATCATTCTCCTACCAAGCACCAGCATTCTCCTACCAAGCACCACCATTCTGCTACCAAGCACCAGCATTCTCCTACCAAGCACCACCATTCTGCTACCAAGCACCACCATTCTACTAACAAACACCACCATTCTACTAACAAACACCACCATTCTGCTACCAAGCACCACCATTCTCCTACCAAGCACCAGCATTCTGCTACCAAGCACCACCATTCTCCTACCAAGCACCACCATTTTCCTACCAAGCACCAGCATTCTCCTACCAAGCACCACCATTCTCCTACCAAGCACCACCATTCTCCACCAAGCACCACTATTCTCCTACCAAGCACCACCATTCTGCTACCAAGCACCACCATTCTCCATCAAGCACCACTATTCTCCTACCAAGCACCACCATTCTGCTACCAAGCACCACCATTCTACTAACAAACACCACCATTCTGCTACCAAGCACCACCATTCTACTAACAAACACCACCATTCTCCATCAAGCACCACTATTCTCCTACCAAGCACCGCCATTCTGCTACCAAGCACCACCATTCTCCATCAAGCACCACCATTCTCCTACCAAGCACCAGCATTCTCCTACCAAGCACCACCATTCTCCATCAAGCACCACCATTCTCCTACCAAACACAACTGTTCTCCTACCAAGCACCACCATTCTCCATCAAACACCAACACTGTCTTACCAAACACCAACATTCTCCAACCAAACACCAACAAAGAGGAGCTGGGTGTTCTTTATTATATTATAATAACTGTTTTATAAAGCTCTTTCATCTGTTTCACACAGACTGTAATACATTACAGGAAGTGTAGGGGGCGATATGGCTTCTACTGTTTCATTTAAAAAGCTCTATAATGTTCATACGATCCACACAGTCAGTCTGACAGACTGCAATACACTACAGGAAGTGTAGGGGGCGATACGGCTTCTACTGTTTCATTTAAAAAGCCTCTATAATGTTCATATGATCCACACAGTCACTCTGACAGACTGTAATACATTACAGGAAGTGTAGGGGGCGACATGACTTCTACTGTTTCATTTAAAAAGCTCTATAATGTTCATACGATCCACACAGTCAGTCTGACAGACTGCAATACACTACAGGAAGTGTAGGGGGCGATATGGCTTCTACTGTTTCATTTAAAAAGCCTCTATAATGTTCATATGATCCACACAGTCATTCTGACAGACTGTAATACACTACAGGAAGTGTAGGGGGCGATATGGCTTCTACTGTTTCATTTAAAAAGCCTCTATAATGTTCATATGATCCACACAGTCATTCTGACAGACTGTAATACACTACAGGAAGTGTAGGGGGCGATATGACTTCTATTATTTCATTTTACCTTCAAAGAAATGATCACACACTTACCGAGGCTGCTGAGGGAGCTGCTGCTCTCCGAGTCGGAGGGCATGGCGGAGAGAACGCTGTATGTAGACCCTGAAAAAACAAATACATCCTTATAACACAGTTTCTTCATCATCATCACAAAAATAATTATCACAACACCCATCAATGCAAATATCATCATATCATTCATCTTCATCACCACAACAGTAACCGCCATCACCACTATACCAATAATCACCACTATACCAATAATCATCATCACTATAACAATAACCTTCATCGCTTTAACACTTAATAACCAATAGGCTTACAATCATCACCACCATATCAATAACCCTCATCAACACATCAATCACAATTTATCACAATAACAATCACCAATATAACCATCATCATCCTAATACCAATTACCTCATACCAATAACCTTCATCACTACTGTAACAACAACAACAACTTAATTGGTATAACATTTACAGCAATTACAATCATTAAGCATATAACATCACTATAACTTCATCACCAGCATCATCACCACTAGCACAAAACAGTGATCATAATAAGAATCATCACTACAGCTTACACCACAACAATAACCACCATCACCGAAGCCATATGAATAATCATAATCGTCATCACCACCACCCATTATCATCACCGTAACGATTACTGTAATAACCATCACTATAACACAGAAGCCCTAGAGGCCATAGATTTGCATGTTTTTTCACTCCATGATAATGAGTTATACATTTGTTTTCTTGAGATCTCGAGTTATTTATATCATTATTCCGTCACAAGGAACATTGTTTTCATGAGATCTTGAGATAGTTATGACATTTTCACAACATAACAAATGTTATCTCAATGAAAAAATGCCTGTTCTGTCCTGATCATTACGGAAATAATTTGAGATTATCAAGAAAACATTTGTTTCGCCACGATAATAACATACATATCATAAGACCTCAACAAAACAAATGTAACTTACTTATTATTATGGAAAATAAGTATTAAAAACATGCACCAACAACTTTTATACTTCACTGTAAAAATCACCACTACAACCGCATCACCACCATACCAGTAACTTTCATCACCATCACTATCACTGATGATTATTATAGTGACAATCACTCTAACCAACATCACCACAACAATAAGCACCATCACCACATCAATAGTCTTCTACATAATCAACATCGCCGGTCATCACTATAACCACATCACCACTACCACCATCTGTATAACGATTACCACCACATATCATTAAAGCAATCACCACCACCAACCCACTAACTTATCATAACTATCACTATAACTGTCACATCTCCAATCAGAGATGATAACCATCATCATCACATACCACTGACCACAGGCATCATCACCGTAACTGCAACTACCACCACATCACCATATCAATAACTTCATATTAACATCATCACATTAATGATGATCATATTGACAATTATCACTACAAATATTATCATTATAACAGTAAACACCACCACCATCACCACCGCTATGGCAAAATCTTCCAACGTCATTACTGTAATGATTACCACGGTAACATTTATCACTACTACAAATCACAATAACCCCAATCATCATCATCATCCTGTACAACAAGCAGGACACTCAGCTACCGTTTTCAGCACTAAGGCAGCGAATCAGCTCGCAACAGCTGACTGAACCTCAGCCAACCAAGAGTGCTTTGGTTGATTATTTGATGATACAGTCGTAGAAGTTTCACAATTCCATAACTACGTAACTGATTATGTCGCCGTGCGATGAAAGTATAACCACTTTTGACTTCTTTTGGTTTTGTTTCAAAGTAAAAAAAAAAAAACATCAAAAATCCAATGTTTTTTCTCCAAGACTGCACACACAACAATAACTTTACAACAAATTTAAATCAGAATAAATGTCTCCTCTTCCACTTACACACTCTAATGTGGTATGAACTGAAAGTTGAGAGAGAGAGAGAGAGACAGACAGTAAGAGAGAGAGAGTGAAAGTAAGCATAGACCGCTGACGGTTCTCTAGACATCCGGGTTGTTAATCCACCCTATTAGTTATTACACTAGTTTCTATGTACAGAGTTACTGTGCAAATAACTGATATTAAACCACAAGCTACCAGCTGATGGTCCAACAAACCTGCTGCTGACGGTGACATCACAGTCCAAATATCATAAAGCATTACAGCTGTGTGGATGAGCGCAATAAAAGCCGGACAGAGGAGCACAGAGCTTATATAACAGGGGTCATAAAACAGCAAACATCATTTCACTGAATCCTGACGTGGGGGCAGTTTGAGGACACCTAGCTTAAGACGCACTAAGCCGACTGTCGGCCATCAGGTGTTTTGTGCAGCGCTGGTCCAAGTCGTCCCTCGTCAGCTCTGTTTGGGTCGATGGTAACTGTTAAACCTCTTTAAATGTTTGTTTTTGTGGCGCTGTCCCATAGATCATTGTTGGGGAGGGGGTGGGAGCACACCAATATGTTGCAGTGCATGCTGGGAACTGTAGTGCAGTTCATGGTGAAATGGGCCAATATTAATAGAAAACGAAAACAATTTTGTGGGCCGAACAGGACTCACCTGGCCAGCGGGCCTTGTGTTTGACACGTCTTTATCATCGTGGCTCGTTCAAAAATGGACAAGTGGTAGAAAACAGGCTGAAGATGAACGACAGAAGAGTCCGTTTGTTATATTATGATCTATGTTCACAAAACAGGGTTCAGGGTACTCAGCTGGTCGCCCTGCTAGCACCCCGTTACGCTTCCGACACCAAGGATTGCCGTCTCCCCCTGGAGGAGGATCTCTGGAGACAACGCGCTAAGCTGATGGAAAGTGGTGATCAGCCAGATTGAGCTGGAACTCGTTCCTCCTCACTGGCTTGGTGTGTCTGAGCTCTAATACAGGCATATTTTGCTTGGAGGTTTGCAGTTTCAGTCATTCAGACCTTTTTTTCCACAGCCATCATGCTGACAACCGAGTTTAACAGCAGATTTGGGGAGCAGCTACTTCAAACGTAGGGATGAAAAATAAATTGTTCATATACCAAAATCGTAATTTGAAAGAGTGCAATTTCTAAATTGCAAGAGCGGCAATTTTTATTGCAGTCTTACAGTCTACTATTACCAGCGTTGATATGATGCTAGTTTTAAGTAGTGAAATCTGACCTAATAACATGGAGCTTGTGAACTGCTGTGACATCATAATCATGAAGGCTGGCGCACCGTGTTAACAGTTCAAGTCGTAAGCCAGAAACATACACGCTTATCTTCTTCGCCAAAAAAAGCCCCATACTTGAATTTATACCTCAATTATAAACAATTAATTTAAATCGTGATTGCAATATTGGTCAGAAAAATTTTGCCAAAACGTTCAGCCCTACTTAGATGAAAAATATAAGCAAGAAAATCCACCTGGATTAGCATTGAGGAGAAAGTGAATTTTATTCTGTAGAGGCATAAAAGTAGTAAAATGAACAAAAGGCATTTTTAGTACGGTCATCCAGTGTCACCTAAACATTCTTCTCAATAAATAAATAAATCACTAAACACTGGTTTAAAATATCGGCCAAATCTGAACATCTCTCCAATGCTGATGATTTGGACCGGTGTGTATCCCTAGGACTGGCTACAGCAAAACTGGAGGGAAAAACTGGGTACAAATTCAAAAAAAAGAAAAAAAAAGAAAAGAGGGAATAGAATCTATAATCTCAACAGGGGCTCAATAAGGGCTGCGGTCAGTTGGGTCACCAAAGCCATGGTCACTTAGTAACCCATTTCCAGCCAGATGTACTGAAAATGCCTGGAGCTACTGGACACAGCACGGTCAGTCTATCTGCTCCACATACGTCTGGACATATGACGTTGCAAATAACCACTTAACATCATCTGAACGGTGACGGTTGAGCGTCATTAGCGCTTTACACCTTTAATAGTATTGACTAATTCTGCTCCATTTGGCAGAGCCGCTTAATGCCTGTCCTATTTTGGTTTCCCCTCCATTAGCAGGACAGTCCATATAGCAGATCCTTCACCATTCATTCATCTGCAAGCAGATCTTTCCCTTAAAGCAGGGGTGTCAAACTCAACCACTGAAAGGGCCATATTACGTTTTTATTAATTAATGCAGTGCTATAACCAGAACTGGCCATTGTTGATTCAAAATATGCAAAAACTTCAACAGTAAAATGCAAACGCTTTTCAGGAGACCTTGAAATATTCAAAATTTAAACGTCCCCAGCAGCTCCGTCTTTTAAACCTACCCATCTGCTGATCTAAACACCTGGCATCCTTTCTTTGCTGCAAGTTCATTAAGACTTTAGCCCACCCCTCGCCCCTACCACTGAGCCCTCCGTTCTGCACGTTCACGTCTAGGGGTGGGGTGTCCCGATTCTTGTTGAGATAGAGGGGTAGGGTGAAGTGTTGGGGCTACATGACCCTCCAAACAGAGGTTTTTTCAGAGACTCCAAACAGAGAGTTATGAGAAAAAAAGAAAAACCGGTAAGATGGAGAACAAGAGACCAAAGAAACACACAAATGTGAGAATTTTCTCTGTTAAGAAATTACGATAACCACTGTATTGTCTTAGTTTATTGCTGTTTCAATGTAATGTATTAGTAGTAGTGAACCAGTGTCTCGGTAGCTACCTGGCTAAACTTCACATTCCACCTTAAATGGTGCAGCAGTTACATTCTGGTGCTTCAGGCATCAGAACCGCTGCACCATTTAAGGTGGAACAGGAAAATTTAAACAAGAAGGCAGCAAATATCTGACTTCAGCTTCAAAAGAATTAGGCATGGACCATTATTTTTGAAGATCATATGATGCCCTAAATGTAACTAAAGCCCAGCAGTGAGGAGCTGAAACTTTACCCTCCTCTGCTGTCACTGCAGACTGGCAGGGTCGCCTACAGAGCAGCGCTGGTAGCTGTTAATGAAGTGATGCTCTTTTTATTTGAGGGTCCCATTTCAGAGGGAAGATTTCAACCACTACCCTGTAACTCAGTTCCAAGGGGTTAGGGTGACACTCGAAAACAAGGGGTAGGGATGAAAATGAGAAATGGGACTGGGACCATA